ATGACTTTGGTGAGCAAGAAGTTATTTTCTTTATAAAATTATCTGAGTCATGTTGTAAAATGAGGGACATTAGAGCTTGGTATTACTTGTATGAGAAACTAATGTCTTGGTTTCTTGAATCGAAATTATAGTGAAACTCATTTGCAATCTCAACACAACATTTTTCTTATTTATGTATAATTTGTGGTTAGAGGAAACTCATGTTTCCTATAAGACATTGTTATCTTTGTTGTCATGGTTTTGTGTGGAAAATCATGTTTTTGGTAACAAACGTTGTTAGTGTGCCCATATTTTCTACAATAAGAGGAAGAATTGATCAAGCTTGCAACAACATTGATTTTGGGTCTAATTCAATTATAAAACAATTCCTTGGATCTACCTTTCCTCTGTTGAGAAACATAAGAAAATATTTTATTAATGGAAAATATGTTCTCCATGAGAAGGATATGAGACTTTATATTTTTCTATTGGTCGTTTAATGCTCCAAAAAGCTGCATAGTTCGATTCTCATCTTTCCTTTGAAAGAGCATCTTGTGGTACATGTGCATATCATATCAGAACAAAAATTGTCTAATTCATCCCAAATGTTGCGAAACTTGATAAAAAACTCTATAATAAAGTTGCCTTACTTATGTAACAAGACTTTAGTTTACAAATCAGTTATTCTTAAGAGGTTAGAAAAAAATTTTGACTTGATATTAGTCTAAATATCTTTTGTTTTGACCATCCAAAGAATGTCTTCATATGAGTTCAAAGATAGAGTGAACGATCCAATAGACCACCATATTATTATATCGCTCTCAAAATTGATAAGAAGAGTCATCTTTATCAAGTTCTTTGTCAATATTATTAATGAATTTCAACTTGTTCTTGACACTCAAAATAGTGATCATTAATAATCTCCATGAATGATAGTTGATTTTATAATAAAAAAACATGAAAAACAAGGTTGGTAGTAAGATTCTCGTTAAGATGTAAGTAAAATAACTTATCTTAATCATGTTTTGCTTCTTGCGCCATCTAGGATAAGAAAGAAATGAAATGAAAAGAATTATGCAATAGATATTTCAACATTTATACACTTGTTTTAAAGATATAATATCTATTTTCTTATATTTTTTGAACTTAAAACTCTTAACTCATTTTTTTATATATCTGATATATTTTTTCAAGTGTGTTGATCTTCTATTAATTTAGTAAAAATTGGTTTAATTGTATCATTGTATACCTTGCAATATTCATCCATGATCAATGGATATTGGAAATCACATGCTTGAAAAAAAATCAATGATTTATGATAATATAAACCATTGAAACTCTTCATAGAAGTGTATACTTTGAATAAATATAATTCTTGACGAAAAGACATGAACGAACGTTGTGACCTTTCACAAGATGATAGTTTTTCTTATTTCTTTCTATATTTTTTTATACATCAACAAAGTAAAAAGACAAAAAAGTGTAAGTAAAAATATTTATATATTTGATAAAAATATAACAAAATAAACAATAAAATAATAATTTTGGTAAGTTTATCTATCGAAGAACCCAATAAATATAAAATGACCTACATTTTCATATATTTTGGATTTTATCTATTAATAGAAGTTATTTTGAATTAATCATAATTTTATTCTTTTAATTAGCTTTGAACTGTTATAATGATATTCAAATATTAATTATTCTGATAATATTTCGATATTATTAATTATTATACTTATTTTAATATTTATTGAACTATCAATCTTATACAATATCTTCAAATATTTTAAAATAAGTTAAAAATAAAATCAAATAAATACACACTTAGTTATAAACGGTAATTTCATCACTGTGATCAACGTGAAAACATCATTGCGTATTGGTATTAACATAGTAATTAATTGTAAATATATTGAAGTATAATGCTAAAATGATAAAATAACTAATATAATACTAAAAATAAATATTTTAAATTAAGTAGTAATAACAAAATTGGTTTATAAATAAAAAATACAATATTTGTAATTAACTAAAAATTAAAATTATAAATACTCAATATATAATTTATCAATAAAATAAATAAATAGATATATATGATCATTTAAAAAAGTCTTATATTATTATGTTACTTATTTAATAAATAAACACTTATAATTTCAATATGTTAACTTAATAGCATCTTGAAAGTTATTATTATCTTTTTCTTTTTAGTTTGTTATTCGTTTTTAAGTTTCGAGTCACTTTTATTATCAAACATGATCCATTTATAAGTCCAAACAAGCCTTTTAGCTAATTTTAAAACTATAAAGTAGTTGAGATATTTTATAAAACATAAATTTGACGTATCATTAGAAAAAACACTTATAAACGTTTAATTTTTATTTTTTATTTATCAAATACAATTTATATAGAAGATATCAGAAAATGCGTCTCACTCATACTCAAATTAATATATCATATTTCATCAAATGTTAAAAAAAAAAAATCCAATTATTGTATATTTTTAACTATAGCATCGCACCTTATAAAGTCATCCAAATATTGAATCTTTTATAGATTTTTTTTCATCTTTTATTTATTAGACATTTCAATAATTTGAAAACTTAGCAGTAGTAATAATAAAATGTAGAAATATTACATATGATAAAAAAAATTGATGAACACATAATATCTTACATTAACATAAGACATATAATTAACCTAAATCTCAGTGGAAATAAATTCAATGATTTTTTAAATCTTGTATATATTTGATAACGAATTTCAAACATAAACTTTGAATTTCAAAATTAATTTAAATCAAGTTACTTATACTTTTAAATAATTTTTAACTTACATTGTTAAATCATTAAACATAAAAACCTTTAAAATCTTTACTATTTCATTTTTAAGGTAGCTGAATATTCCTTTATCGTTAGAAAGAGAAAAAAATAAAAAATAAATCGGATCAAGATAAACTTTGACTAAATTATAATTATAAAATTTACTTGACGATGAAATTTGAATCGATTTTTCCGTGTTAACCAAAAAAACAAAATATTAAAAACTATTATTTGTTCATTAAACAAATAAAATCCAGAAGTATGTATAAAAAAAATGTTTTTTCTTAAATAGAAATAAAAATAATTAATCTCAAATGTTAAATTAAAATATAAAAATCAGCGTAAAATACTTATTTTAAACAATCCATTAAAATTTTACATTATCACCATAACCATAAATTTTAAGTTTACATGTAAACATTTATCATCATATAAAATAAATATATTATATAAAATACTTAATACCAAATTTAACATTATTAATTAAATTTAAATTTTGAAAAATAAAGATTATTTTTTTTACTTATCCTCTCTTTTAAAAACAAATCTATAATTTTATTTTTTGGACATTTTTAAAATTGAACCTAATTTTTTCTATTTTAATATTAAAATATAATATCATAAAACATTTAAATAATTATAAGACTAATAATAAATAAAAATTATATTAATATTTTATATTTTTATACTATATTTGTTTATAATAATAAATAAAATATTTTTTTTATTTAAAGAAAATTATTATTGAGTGTTTTTTTTATGTTTTCAATATTAATAAAAAAATTACAAATTTTATATTATAAAGATGAAATTATAAAAATAGAAAAAAAAATAAAAAAAATATTTATTTATAAAGTGAAATTAAGAAATAAAAGGATACGGAAGTAAATAAATGTAAAATAAAAAGATAAAAATGAGAAAAAGTAAAATAAATATCTGATAGAAAAAATTGAGGGATAAAAAGTACAGGTAAGTAAAGAAAAAATAATATAAATAAAAAGTTGTGTAAAAGAATAAATATAATATTTATTAATAAAAAGATAAATATTTTAATTATATTTATTACATAATTTTTATTTATTTTACATATATATATATATATATATATATATATATATATATATATATATATATATATATATATATATATATATATATATAGTGTGAGATCCAGGTTGCTTCGGAATCTGCCTCTGACTACCTTAGAAAGATTTCTTAAAATAAAAATCAAAAGTTTTAAATGAATTAACTATCTTTTTTATAACAAGATATCTCAATTATATTATTCATAAATTATCTCTAGTTCATACTTATTATCATCAAATTCTTTATAATTTTAAAAAACAATTCTCTAAATTAAAAAATATTTTTAAATTAAAATAATACTTTGAAGATTAAATTAATATTTTTTAATTTAAAAATATCCTGCAATTTTTAAATTTAATTATATTTTTTATATACATAATTTACTATTTTTTATTATAATAATATTGATTCACAGCTATTTGAGATTTACACAGTCTCAACAAAACAATACTATAAAGAAGAAAAAAAATTGGGGAACAAAAATACTATGATATAATCACTTAAAGATAACAATTCAATTATTTCTTATCATATTATATAACATTAAATTATAACTGTAACAAAAGAGTTATAATATATATTTTATTTTAAGTCATACAAATTAACCACACATCAATATAGTTATTTTATTTAGTAGAAATCCATACTTAAAAGAAACTAAATATTCGTGATCAATATATAATTATTTAACATAAAGAAAAGAATGAGTAATATGGGTGCGTGTCTAATTAAACTTTGATGAGAAGCATAAGTTAAGGCTATTTTTGTCATTTTGTTTGGAAACGTGGCAAACTCACGCCACCATTCGTTTCATAATTTTAACGTTTTCGCTTATTCCACGCAAAATATCTTTTCAATTGATTCCAAGGGTATTACTGTATTTTTGCCACGTACAGTGAAGTGAAATTTGGTGGTACCGCGTGGTCTATAAATTCCCCGCTAATTAATTCTGAGGAAAAAAATAACTAAAACGCACACGCACAATTCTGTTGTTCAGAGCTCTCAGAGAAAACAAAGAAAACCCTAATTGGAAACTCTTTGGGAATCCCTAAACAGTAGCCCCAGTGACCCGTTGCAGTGTCTTGGAAGAGGTGAGCTAAACACGGCGTTATGGCGATGATCGTGAGTCAGAACATGGTAACAGAGGCGGAAATTATTTGCCAGAAGAGCATTCCGATGCTGGACGTGAAGTATCACCTTCGCATGGCGCAAGAACATGGCGTTAATGTCGAGGTTTCACCCACCTCCAATGCCGTTCCCATTTTCGGCCACGTGAGGGTTGCCGCTGAATCGGTTTCTACGGAAACGACTCGTTTTGAATCGGTGGGTACTACTGGATTCCCTTTCCTGGATTTTGTATATTACTCTTTCGATGTTTTAACCATTTTTTTTCTTCTTTTCCCGAGAATTCATTGAGATTTGTTTTTGTTTTTATTCAGTGTATAAATAGTTAATATTGGTGTTTCGTTTGGTTTTGTTGTCTGTTTTCCTACAAACATGAATCGGTTCGTTTAAATTTTCTTCTGTCTTCCCCCCTTTTTTTTCTGTGGATAAATGTGCATCAGCGGGTGTCCATTTATCTATGAATGTATGAGTTTGAAGTTTTCGTCCTCCTTATTTTTCTTGTTAGTTCTGGGGAGGATTGAATTTTCCTGTGAATGGTTGTGGGGTGTCAGAAGGTGTATTTTAAGCTAGGATTTTGAGGTGGGTGTTTTTATAATGTTTTTTTTTCCACCACCTAGCATAAAGAGTAATAAACAAAGATACACTGTTTATTGTTTTTTACACTTTTCCTTCGGTGAAATTTGGTGATGCAGCTGGCGTTAATATTAGTAAATTTCCGATTATAATTGGTTAGTATGATAGGGTTTCTTAGTAGCTTTGTTTTAATTTTTTCCCCCTTAATTTAAACAAGTAACAGTTGTTGTGCTGACTGATATGTTGTGTGTATTTTAGGTTGTGAGTTGCCCTGAGATGACTGAAGATTCCATTTTAGAGGCTCCTGATTCTAAGTTTACACCAAATGTTCGATCTGGTTGCTGTGCTGATATTGGACCCAGGGGATCTATGGATGATGAGCACATTCGGATAGATGATCTAGCTACCCACCTCGGGTTCGTCTTTGATCATCCTATGGCAAATGCATTTTATGCAGTTTTTGACGGGCATGGAGGCCCTGATGCAGCTGCCTTTCTTAAAAACAATGCTATGAGATTATTTTTCGACGATGCTGATATGCTGCAATCATATGATGCTGATGCACTTTTTCTGAAGAGGTTGGAAGATTCTCATAAAAAGGCATTTTTGGGAGCAGACCTTGCCTTGGCTGATGAACAAAGTGTTAGTAGTTCCTGTGGAACAACGGCGTTGACTGCTCTTGTAATTGGAAGGCATTTGATGGTTGCTAATGCTGGGGACTGTAGAGCTGTTCTTTGTAAGCGAGGAGTAGCGGTTGAAATGTCCCAGGATCACAGACCAAGTTATTTACAAGAACGCAGGAGAGTGGAGGAGATGGGTGGTTTCATTGATGATGGGTATCTCAATGGTTATCTTTCTGTTACTCGTGCCCTTGGGGATTGGGACTTGAAATTTCCACTTGGTTCTGGGTCGCCTCTCATTGCTGACCCGGATGTTCAGGTGGTCACATTGACAGAGGAGGATGAGTTTTTGATCATTGGTTGTGATGGTATATGGGATGTGATGTCAAGCCAGGACGCTGTTAGTCTTGTTCGGCGTGGGTTAAGAAGGCATGATGACCCTCAACAATGTGCCACAGAGCTAGTTAAGGAAGCATTGCGCCTACACTCATCAGATAATCTTACTGTGATTGTTATTTGCTTGTCCCCTGTCCAGAGTATTGTCCAATCATGTCCACCCCACATGCGAAGATTCAGATCTTGCTCATTATCTGAAGAGGCTCGTAACAAATTGAGAAACTTGTTAGAGGGAAATTAAATGTAAATACGATTCTTCTCACTATTCACAGTCATTCCTTTCATGAAAGGATTGACTTTTGTTTGTAGGCTGTTTTAGAGTTGAGTTAAGCAGCAAACAGTTTTGTAGGTATAGAAAAGGATAATTGTTTGGAGTTTAGACCTATTTAATTTAGGGGGTTTATCTGGGTTATCTTGATGTATGTAGGGAATTACTTAGCTAGCTAATTTTGGCGGGAACAATGATGAATTTGATTTCAGATTATACTTACATCTGTAAGGAAGATGATTTAGACTTCTCGGCAGTGCTGTGAATGAATGTGACGACAAAACTCGTTATTTTCTTGATTGTTGCATTCAGCGTCCGCCTGTTTGATGCTTGCCATGAGTTCGTTGAGTAATAGAGTGCACATCTCAATTTATTTGTTTTTTTTTTTGTGTGCAATGAGATAGTTGAGTAGAGTGCACATTTCAATCTCTGTTTTTTTTTTTTTCTCTAGTCTGTTTATGTCCGATTTTGAGGTGCCAGAAAATACAAATTTATAAGAACTTCTATTAAATAAATTTTATTTTTAAAAAATAATAATTTTTTAATAAATATCATATGATATCTTAGGTCGATCAAAATAAAAGTAAATTATGTTATCAAAACATTAAATCCGTGAACTGAGTTTGATGCCTAAAACTGTGGAATCATTTGATAAAAAATAAGAAATAGATTTGAATTTTGCCTATTGAATTTCCTTCCATTCCCATGTATTAGAATCATTTTATCACAATAAGCATGCAAATGATAGGACGATCCCCACTGGTACGTGACTTTATGGTTTTATCATTTATCCAAAGATGTCTCAGTTGTGAATTGAAAAGCTTGTCAATTACCTTGATTTTGGGTTTAAACATTTGCCTAGTGTGTTTGTAGGGTATTGGCTACTGCTTAAAAAATTTAACCTACTCCTTTTAGTATCACGGCATAGATCCCTGTGTATAAATTGCAGACGTTTCTCCCAATTAGAGAAAATTAGTGTTACAAAATTTAAAAAATATTATGAATAACTACTTGTCAGAAATAGTTAGCTAGGAAGTTGTTTTGTTGTGAAGTAGTATTATAATAAAGGACTGTTTATTTTGTTAGTTATTAAGAATTTTGTTTTGATTTCCTAGAAAAGTACATCAGTTTTTTTTCTCACAATTGGGGTTTCCTAGAACAACTACTTCTTAATCACAAACCAAGTTCGAAAATCACCCATTAATATGGAGAATCACGAACCAAAATCTGAAAACTGTAACTTCACTGTTTTTAAAGAGACTTTTTTTTGTAACGGTTAAATAATTTACCGTCAGAAAAATCTATCAATTTTAAACTTCAAATATTAGAAGAGTCCGGCAGTCTTTACTGATGTGTGTAATTGTTCTTCTTATTCTAGTTGGAGAATAGGGATACTAGCAAAAATATACTTCAACACTTGGAGGGGGTAAATTAAACATTTAACTTTAAGAGGAGAAAATCATGTGTAGATTGTAACCCTTTATACAATATGTGCTCTTTAGGAGATAAGATTCAACAACAACCACAGATTAAAATAATATGTAGTGAATAAATTATAATATTGCTCAGTTAAATTTTAATTTTACAATAGGATCTTCAAATGAAGAATTCAGATAAATTAAAAAATAAAACGGTTTAATGGACTCTTATCGATAAAAATTAACATAACTTAGAAGGTTAAAAGCTAAAAAATCCTGAGATGTATATATTTGTTGGGTCATATGCACTTTCCAAAATCTTCTTTGAACGGGTTCATGTATATGCACTTTCCAACATGATCAGTGCAGCATAAAATTGATCTAGTAATTGTGTACTCTTGTTTTGTCGTCAAAATTGAACTCAACACCCTGATAGGGTCAGTATCTGCTTAATGGTATCTACTTTGATCACAAAAGAAACATCACTCTTGGAAAGATGCAGGAGAGAACTGTGATTAGAGTATTCTGACATTTGTCAACAATTGCAATGATTAAACTTTAATATCATAATATAAGACTTGATAAATTATCATTATTGCTCAACTTCTTCAGTATACACACTCTCAAGTTGCACCCTTTTGGAAGACAAAGAGGTATGAGAAGACACCACACTTTGATAATGTCTCAGACAAAATATTTGGAGTGATTATGTATGTTATTGTAGCACCCAATGAAACCATGACAGCTCTGCAGTGTGTTTCAGCATCTGAGGACATTTATGTACCATTCGCATCCAACAAAAATGAATTAATTCATAACGATGGTCTAATTTCACACGACAAAAATCAGATATATGTAGATGCTGCTTTTAGGTATCTTTTGATATAGTTTTTCAATCAATATTAAAGTTTTATATCAACAATATATATTTAATATAACATTTTAGTTAAGTGTGATTTCTTAGTGATTAATTTACCCTTATGCATAAAATAAGTGGAAAGTTTGATTACTTTTAATTGCTGTTAATTAACACATCTCCCAAAACTGTTGCAATATTTTTGTGTTGGGTTAATTCATCAAAATTGATTATCTTTCAATCTTTATTTTATCTTCTTTCATTTGGTAGCTGCATGCATCCCAATCACAACTACTATAGATAAAACTAAACGTGGAGTTTCTCGAAGAAAGACCCAAAAAACACAGTAAGTTACCTAGTTTATTTGTTTTAGGCTTTTCACCAACTGTGATGCATTGATGATTAGAGTTTCTTGTATGGATTATGATTTGATAATAAACATCTTTTCAACTTAACCATTAACAAGACCTACTTATGGACATTTAACTAAAATAAGTTGTGTCTGTAGTTCAAATAATTTGAACTGATATGATGTATTAATCTCAACTTAAAAACAACAAAACTACTTTATAAAAGTACAATGAATGATACGTTTTACTCCTATAATAATTTATAACACATTTTTTTTCATAGAAAATATAATTCTGTGTCTATCTCTCTGTCATAATTTTCTATTATGTCTCACATGCACTTTTTACGTTCTCACGTGACCAAACTAGACCACAAGTTTCTTTGGCTACTTACTACTTATAATGTGTTTTTTGTGTTGGTACACATGTAAAACACCTTTAATTCAATTCATGGGAGGATCATTGAAGTGATAAACATGCATTTGAAGCATTTGAGAGAATCAAACACCCCCTTAATTGACATTGATTCCCTTCGATCTTCCATGGTTGGTGATTAAAAAATCAAGATGGGAATTCAACTTGCCATTATAAATGAATGTCCTACGTTGTGCGTGCTTTCCTTCTTTCACTCACCAACATGCTACAAGGATTTCAGCCCAAACCAATTTATGAGTCAAATTAGGCTCGTTAACTTTTGTGGGCCTGGTTTAAAGTAACTTAGTAAGTACAACTAGCTAATAAATAATGAGTTATATATATATAATAACTTATGAGTTTATACTAAAGATTTAAAACACCCTTTTAGAATAATTAATATAATTTGACAGGAGGTAAATAAAATATAAAAAATTATAAATTTCATGAGTTACTCTGATATTTTTTTTATGGATCTCACACTGTTTTTATAAATTTCTTTTCTGTTTTTGTATAGTTTCTGTGAGTATTTTTTTATTTCTTCCCTTCTGTATCTCTTATACAAAGTAGCGGTGTCAGATTTTAATTTATTGTGATTCTTCAACATTTGATAACCATTTCACTATCAAATTTTGAAAAGAAAATTACCTCTCATTTCAAATATAAAATATAAATATATTTTAAAAAAATACTAAACAAATATCAATAAATTAACTCACAATTTATAAATTATAATAACTTTGATTTTCAACTTTTGAAGTTCTGGCGTCATAAAAATGCAGAACGATATCGTAATTTCCTTTTCATTTCGATAATTCCACGCCTTATCTATCAAAACACAAACACTATACTGTACAAAGGAGCCATGCCTACGGCTATGGCGATGATGGCGTCGCAGTTGCGGTGGGGGTGGAGACCGCCGCCGAAGGAACAACGGCGTCGTATGGCTCCTGTGGTGTGTTCCGTGGCTACGGAGAACGCGCAGAAAAAAGAGAGAGCGAAACTGAAGAAGCTCTTCGAAGAAGCGTACGAGAGGTGCCGCACTGCTCCCACCGAAGGCGTCTCCTTCACTCTCCAACAATTCACTGACGCTCTGGACAAGTACGACTACGAATCCGAAGTTGGCTCTAAGGCACGCTTCCTTCCCTTTACCCTCCTAAAATTGTTTTGAATTTGTGTTTGGTTGAGAATGTTGTGTTTACCTAGTTTATACTATGTGCTGCAATTGCTAACTGATTGTTTATGATTAAAATGAAAGAGGTTTTAAATTGTGGTTGTAGTTGCAGTTTTGTCAAATGTAGGGAATTTGGACAAATGCAGCTGATGTGACCAATTTAGCTTATTTAGTAATTCTTGATGTTACAAAAAATTGTAGATTAATGCAGCTGATGTGGCGCAAGTGGCAGAGACCCTAAATATCTAGTAGGGTTGAGGACCCGTTTTTGGAACCTTGGGAGGGGCTTGTAGTTATAGGCTACCCAAGTATTGTCTGGATAAACTTCTTCGTCGGAGATGATTGAATATTCTTTTTTATTGACATGTAAGGGAAGAAAATAAAAGGGGAAAATGAATTGAGTTTGTCGAAGGTTAAGGAGAGTATTTATAAGAGTTAAATGCATAAGTTGATTTTACCTTAGGAGAAACTCAATTCTTTTTGCCTTACATACTTTTTTCTTTAATAAGTGTCTACAAAAGTTTATCTTAATAGGGTCTAGTACATTTTAATTTACTCTTTCGTTTTGGTTTTGGGGGTTTTCGAATGAGTGGTTGCTGCTTGTGTTTTCAGGTTAAGGGCACTGTTTTTGCCACAGATGCTAGTGGAGCTTATGTTGACATTACTGCAAAGTCCACAGCTTACTTGCCCCTACAAGAGGCTTGCATCCAAAAAATTAAGAAAGTGGAAGAAGCAGGTATAGTTCCTGGCTTAAGGGAGGAATTTATGATCATTGGTGATAATGGAACGGATGATACCTTGATCCTGAGTTTGAGGTCTATCCAATATGACCTTGCATGGGAACGCTGTAGACAACTTCAGTCCGAAGATGCTGTTGTCAAGGGTAAGGTGGGTTTTGGTAACTGAGAAACTTAATTAAGTTAAGATTTGGCTTATCTGTGTTGATTTCTTATTTGTTATGGCATCCAATTGTGGTAATCTGTCAAGTAAAAATTATGAAGTAAAGCATAAGAAAAGTTGATCTTGTTACCTTTGCGAGTTGGTTTATTTGATCTTGAATCGCGTTGACTATGCTGTATCATCTCTCTTTTATGACTTATGTATGTTGTATGGCTGGCAGGTTGTCAATGCAAACAAAGGTGGTCTGGTGGCTCAAGTCGAAGGCCTTAAGGGGTTTGTTCCATTTTCACAGATATCAACGGTGAGCTCTTTTGAGATTTATGGACTTGCATGAATCAGATTCAAACTTGCCTTGTAGCAAGAGTTCAACTTATTAGCATTAAGACAAGTATAATAAGTGCTTTTGGTGGGAACAAGAATCAGATAAGGTGACCTAATTGTGGGTGTTACCAAAGAATGTAAATCTCAAAAGCAAATAAACATTAGGGGGATAAATGAGTTGAACTACACCGAACATTTTAAGCTCAAGCTTGGCCTGCATAAAATATGGTGCTCAAGCTTGGCCCAAAGTTAAAACTTTGGCTTGGCTTATCAGGAAATATGAAGTTTGGGTTTGGCTTGTTCAACTCATTAATAACTCTTCTTTATCAAATATATTGTTAATGTTTTTTTTTACGTTTATCAATATTGAATTTAATAGACTTTTTGAAAGGATGAGGTACCTAACATAACCTTACAAAACTGGTTTAAGAAGTTGAGTTTTATACTCATCTATATATTCTAATATTATCATATTTTTAGCTAATGTGGATCCCCTCGAGATGAGGGGTATGATGAAAAAAAAAATTTCAAGATGAGGGGGTGTGGTGAAATCTCACATCGATTAGAAATATGATAAAAACAAGTATTAGTAACTGATTTTATAAATGTCAAACATCCCTTATTATCAATGTTGACAATGTTTGATGCAATTTTGCTAAGAGTACTTGTAGGCCTCAATAAGTTCATGTAGATTATTCTGGGTAAATAGAAAGTTTCTTTTCCTGTTCTTTCTTCCGTCTCATTTTAAATATTACAATTTCAGCCACCAACTCAAAAACTTTCCCTTTTTCCACTTTTCTTCTTAGAAATCAACTGGAGAAGAGCTTCTTGAGCAGGAGATTCCTTTTAAGTTTGTGGAGGTGGATGAGGAACAGTCTAGACTTGTCCTCAGTCACCGCAAAGCTGTGGCTGAGAGCCAAGGACAGTTGGGAATTGGATCAGTTGTCACTGGCTCTGTTCAAAGCATAAAGCCATACGGTGCCTTCGTTGACATTGGTGGAATTAGTGGCCTCCTTCATGTCAGTCAGATCAGTCATGACCGTATAACTGATATTGCAACTGTTCTTCAACCTGGTGATATTCTGAAGGTAAAACTATGACAAGCTACTCTGGTATTTGCTTGAAATGGCAGGTGTTATGGGACATAAAATCTCATTTATTATTTGGTTAGGTGATGATCTTAAGTCATGATCGGGAGAGAGGACGAGTAAGTCTTTCCACAAAGAAGTTGGAACCCTCACCTGGTGACATGATTCGCAATCCCAAGCTTGTCTTTGAGAAGGTATGATTCAAAGGAAGTATACCAGGTCTACTCGTGAAAATTATGATTGTAGCATAGAAGTGGCCTCATTTGTCATGGTTTATTTCCAATTTTCCACTTCCGCTACTTCTGTTCTCTTGATTGATATCCTTGAAGCAGCCAAAATATTGGGTTCCTTTTGATTCTCTGTTATACTTCTTTCCATCTCTTCCTTTCTATGACAAATCTACTCAACTTTTTACATTAGCATTATCACATTTGAAATAGTACGCACACTCACAATTCGAAATCTGTTTTTTACAGGCGGAGGAGATGGCTCAGACATTTAGACAGAGAATCGCTCAAGCAGAAGCTATGGCTCGTGCTGATATGCTTAGGTTCCAGCCGGAGGTATTTATTTGTTCAAAATCTCATCTCAATGAAAATAAAGAACCTACACAAGGGATTAAAAGTTGACTAAAATTACAAATAGCAAAAATAAGTCACATGTTGCTGCTGCTGCTGACAAAAAGAATTACATATTCCGAAATGACATGATTTAAATGGTTTTTGGTGGACCTTTTTAGTGGATTACATACAAAAGTTTATATGCATTTCAATTCTGATGATCTGTTTGGGATACAAGTAGTTTTGATATTTTGGACTTTGGACTCCTGAACGACTCTCATTTTACTGACTTGAGATATATGAATATATTTTTGCTTTCAACTATTAACTGTTTCATCTTTGGGTTAGATATATTTCTTTGATCACCTTATAGCATTCATGCATACTGAGAAAAATGGATTATTTGTTCTTTTGATGAACCTATTTCATACCTATCCTTTTGTTTACAGAGTGGATTAACTCTCAGCGGTGATGCAATCTTAGGACCACTTTCTTCAGACTTACCTCCAGAGGGAGTGGATCTGAGTGAGGTACCCCCAGCTGAAGATTCATGACTGAGAATTGAAAATTGAGAACTGAGAGGCCCCTTTTCCTCCCCTTTTGTTTTTCTCCTTTTTCAACCTGTTCTGAATATTATTGTAGAAAGATGAACCTATCGAACGGTTCTTTTTAGCAACTCATTTTTGTAGCATAGGCAATTCTAGAACTCTTCATTTTCTGTCCAAACTATTTGTAGGGATTGCCCGTTATCTTTGGTTAGATTGACAATAGTGGAACCAGTTCAAAAACCAGATTTTCATATTTATGTCTGAGAACTTTAGATTGCCAACTGCTAGAAACCTAACATATGAGGAACTCAGGGCTGATCCTGATAATTTATGGACCATGACAAAATAATTAAGGGGCCTAAGACCGTCGGCACTCGCACATCAAGACAAGTTTAAATAGTACAAAAGAAAATAATCGTTAATGTATTTGCAGTGTTAAACAATTCTATGATGTCATTTAATTACCAAATTATATGTATAATAAATATTTTGACTTCTAAAGAGTATATCTATCTAATAATGACTAATTGATTGATATATAAAACTGTTCATGCTAATAGTTTACAATCATTCGTCACATGGTAATCGTTTTTATTTTTGATATTGTAATCTGGTTGGAATTCCAAGCCCATCAAGGTTTTGCTGTATTTCTTTTTCATCTACAAGAATAATTTTTTCTTCTGAATTATCTTCCTATGATAAAGAACAATAATTGATACGTAGTAGGCTCAGCTATACTTTATAGAAATACTAGTTAAGTAAATTTGGTTCATTTGTATTTAAATGTGAGAATATACTGTAAATTTGAAGCATAAATTAATTCTAAAGACTGTAGAAGATATTTAGTTAAAAATAAACCATAATGTTTTCACTTGAGAATAATTTCTACGGCTGACTCATTTTAAATATTTAGTAAATAAAAAAGTTTCGTTCAATGATGAATGCTCAGAATTACACTAGATATTGCTAGACTACTGCAATGATTAACCCGGTCTTAAAATTTCTTCAGAATTTAAAATCCAGAGACTAGCGGTCTGTGACAGCACTGTACAAAACCAAAATGGACATAAAACTGAAGGGAAGAAAACTTGTCTTCAGTGTTGGAATTTAGAAGGATATACAACATACAAATTTCCTTAACTCTAGCTAATGAAAAGAAACAAAAAACAAAACAAAACTTCACCTTTTAGACACGGAGTTTGGGGGTTTAAGATCCAGGTTTTAATCCAAGGAATATGCAGTTTTAATCCGAGGAATAATAGAGAACATAAATAGACTTGGTATTGCAGGGGTGCGGAAGTAGGATTAAAACTGAGGTGCAGTTAATCTTCAAACTGTGTAAACGATGGATCCATGTGTGTTGGTTAACTCGCTTGTTTGCTGCTCTTCTTGCCTTTCTTTTGTTTTTGCTTCAATTGAGTAAGGCCGGCTGCTGATATTTTCACATTACCAATAATTGCAGCAACTAGCTCAGGATCTGTACAGGCTTTCATCAACTCCTTTTCCCGGTTTGTTGCTTCTGACATATGGCTGAACAAGTTCACTGCAGTTTTTGCAGCTGTACAAAAAATGGAAAAAGAAAGATAATTATGGCAACATCTTCTTGAAACAAATATCGATAACTCAAACTAAAACATAGACGGCCAGGGCCAGGGGAGGAGAGAGAATATTATAGACTCCAGGCAAGAATTAATACATACACACGCACCATATGAAGATACAAGTCATCCATCATGAACGAACACATATTCGAGCTGAAAAATAGTTTTCTAAGACTCCCTTCTACAAGGTACTACTAGTCTAAGATACACGATACCAACAGAAAAATTAAGATAAAACTTAAATAATAATAACCTTTCCCTTTCTTCGCTGGGCCAGGAATTATCTTCACCCGATATTTGTAAGACTGCAGTGCACTGTAAGGACCACAGACAGGAACAGCGTACAAGAGAATGTCATTAGGAAGTGGATTCCCTGTCAAGTAATCCACGTCATTCAGTTTTTCTTTCTCTTCTTCTCCTATTTCATGAATATCATCTTCTTCCATTGTCACCCTGTCTGCTTGGGAAGTGTCAAGATCAGTCATTTTGGGGTTTTCTTCAGCTTCAGCAATTGCATGCCTGTGCACCAGATCATCTGATTGCTCCTTACAATCCCGTGATAAGTGACCTGCCTTCTTACACTTGTAACATATTTTTGAAGCTTCAACAAGACCTGCCACAATATCATTATAACATATTAAACACTGCTATAACTACCAAATAAACATGCTGTGTCTAATTTACAGCGAAGTTTAGATCTCAGTAATTAGGTAATAGATACAAAGTAGTGACATTGAATTACAATACATGCACACCACTGGGCTAGCAATAAACCAAGAAAGATCACTACTCAATCATTTAAAGAGGCCCAAAGACTAGTACATGAGCCGAATAGTGCAACTTCTAAAAAATTCCTAGAAGCTTGCCTCATGACAAAGTCAACTTGTTTAGTTCATAAAATCGGTCAATCAAGTCATAAAATGAAAAAAAAAAAAAAACATATTATACAAACTAATATATATTACAATAAACAAAACTATATAAAATATAACATGCACGTGCATGAACCTATTAATGAAAAGCATGATCCAGCTCAAGTCGAATTGGCTCATAAAAAATATTTGAGCTAAGCCAATCAGAACAGTTACATTTTCTATTTAAGCCAATCTCGATCCAAACAAATCGATTCACATAAATTCATGCTGAATTTTAAGGGGGTCCAATTGTAAGCAAGCTGATACCAAGTTTGTTAGTCAGCTCAATCTCAGTAACACTGGTGATGAAACCATCTGAAAGACCTACCGTTGTCAGGGATTTTCCCTTTGTCCAATGCATCATTTTCAGATGACGTCTCTTCCTTCTTGATTGATTTTCCAGAAGACTACAAATACCAAAAAATTGCCTGAGAGATATAGGTGGAGCCAGGGAAATCAAAAGAAATATGCAAGAATTACATGCGAGGCAGTAATATGTTCTTGAAACTTTCCATTATGTGATCTCCTACACTGATTTATTCAAAAGATTTTTTACGTAAGCATTAATTAAATTTAACATCCTTGGAATAATCTTAGCAGGTATGTGATATGTATCCCAGACAGATGGTGACTTCAATTTAGCAAATATAAAGCATGTGGCGCATAAGGCTAAAACATATAAATTATCCTGCGGATGGAAAGGAAAGAACATGCAAGCTACTGAACTCACAGCCAACAATGCCATTCGGATGCTCCTTTCTTCCTCGTCCTGGTTCGCATACTTCTCCTTTATCTTTTTAAGTTTACCCTTCTGCCCACGGCTGATTTTCTGACCACCAGCTTTTTTCACATTTTGATCTTCTTTGGCAGGTAGATTTGCAGAAATATCTTCCAGTTTTGATTCTTCATTTTCATGCTCAACATTTGAATCTGCTTCATGTTTTGGTTCTTTTTTAAGCTTTCGTCTCTCAGCTTTTGATATATAAGGTTTATCCCTAACTGCAGCTTTGCTTGGTTGAAAATGTTTCTCACTGCCTAAATCAATTTGAGAGTTCTCAGTACCATGATGTTTACTTGATTTAGCAACAGATCCAAGTTCCAGAGCTTGGTCAATAAGTTCCTCTAGTTGAGGGGTGACAGTCACTAAGCCATCTCCACTAATGTCTGATAATATCTCCCTATCAACCATATTTGATGTACTTGTCTCTTTCACAGGAAAATCATGTGAAATTGGCTTTTTGGCATTGATAGTGGCCAAACTAGTTTGAGATGAATCGGTAGGCAAGTTTTCTGATAGGGGTTTGTGTGAATCTGCTGATAGTTCACCATTCCTTTCTGAGTCAATGGTAGAATTTATATCAGTTACATCCTTCTCAGACTCCGAATCAGATTTGTCTACAAGAGGAGCAGTTTCTTCATAATCATCTGCTACTTCCTCCTCTCCTCTTACTCTTCTTTCATTTAAATGTGATCCTAAGGAACTCTCGTCCAAGCGAAATAGCAGGCCAAAACCCATGATAAGAGGGTGTGGTGGAAGAAAATTCTTCTTTCCCCGGATCATGAAACTCCCCACTGTGAGATATTCACCAGTAGGAGCCGTTTTACTAACCTGATGAGGATAAACCCACCAGGCACTTGTAACAATTTTTGAATCCCATGCCTGGCTATGGCAGACCTACATTCCAAAATATTGTGGAAGTGATAAGAGTTAATATTTGGTTTAGTTCACAACCCAAAAAGTAAATTTAGATAATATAGAATGGGCTGGTGTTAAAGGTATACTGTGAAACATCCTGCTTGGTTTAGGGTCAGTGGTGGAATTGGCTGCACAGGCTTGTGATTCTTGATAACTGTGCTAGAAGCTCCATGCAGATCAGCATGTACATATCTATTATAAGAACAAATCAATGAAATGAGAGAATCAGAGATTAAATCATATTTCAAAACTGAAATATGTTTCACATTTTAAAGTTGAGTATAATCATTTTTAATTCTCAATGAGCTATTACAGATGCCCAGGTGCTTTAAATATCTCCTGGGATATATATATATATATATATATATATATATATATATATATATATATATATATTTGTTCATTTGTTAAAAATGACAGTGAAATTAATTATAATTGAAAGTAAAATTTACAAGATTCCAGTCTTATGAGAAGAGATATGAGTAAAAACAATTAAATAAGAAAGTGCATCAAAGTCCATAGTTTTTTCAATCTGAGGTTTCAGGAAAAACAAAGGAAACTCCAAGACAAGGAATGATTTTGAAAGGAATTCAACTTGATGATGCAACGAGGAAAGATGTTAAGATGAAGAGAGATGAGTAGAACAAATGCTAATGAAAGTGCATCAAAGTACATAGTTTTTTCCATTAATGAGGTTTCAAGGAGAAAACAACGAAAGTGAAAGACAAGAAATAATTTTGGTAGTATTACAAGCTTCTAATGGGTTGATCACACACCGAGGAAAGGTGATTAAGATGCATAGAATACATAAAGAGTATTATATATCCAACTACATATCCTTTGGATATAGAACCAACCCCAGATGTTAAGATACCAAACAAAGAAAAGCAATATGCTCATCAGAAAATTTTCCAAGAAATTTAGTTTACAATATCCATAAAGCTCACATCCTGTGATCCCACCGGTTCTGATGAAAAGATATTTGCATGAGTAACTTGATTAATTGATAAGAACTTTATAAACCCCCACTACAATCCTATACTTTCGGTGTGGGATTCAAGTCTCACTTTGCAATTGAAATCCTGGCATTAAATATGTTGGAAATAGGGGAAACCACCATGAACTTCTGCTAGTTGAGGCAATATTCTTGGACACCAAAGCTTCAATACCTAACCCCCACCCCCATGTGCTTCACAGGGTAGCAACAGATCTCCAAATAGCAAAAGAATCTAGTTTGCATAGGTATTTGGTATTCTGACTCTAACAATAGGAAGTTTCTTGTGATTTTTCTTTACTTCGGAATATTCATAGTTATCTGGAACCTTGTTCAAATACTCAAATGTGCCTAATCATGTATACAGTGAGATTGGGTTAAATATAAAGTTCTTTCTCAAAAGACATAGAAATTAACAATTAACTGTTAATCATTCAAAAGAAGATAGTATCAGAACCAAATTAATATTATTTTCAACATTACTCAACGGTTTTCCATCAACAGTTAAGTATTTGCCTTAAGGATATAGGTATCTAGGAGTGTAATATAACAAGAAATACTCACACGTCTCCTTTTGACATATACCGCTTCACTATCAGCTCATTTTGCTGTGCATCACGCCCGCTGATAACCAAATAGTTCTCACTTGTAATAAACCAATTAAATTTCTCAAACCAGTGGACTTTGCGCATATGTGAAATTGTGGCAACAGTTTTTTCCTGGAAATAAATTTGAGACAATTAGTAGTTAAGTAAAGCAGTCAGGAATGCAAAAATTGGACTATTTCATATCAATGTGTTACAGATATAAATTTGGAGAAAAGCTTATTGTAAATTTCAAATTTAGAGAATAGGCAATCAGGAATGAAAAGCCTATTGGTAAATTTCTAATTTGGAGAGAAGATACAAAAGATTAAGGTGCAGAATGAGGTATTGTCCACAGATGAAAATAACCTTCGGCCAAATATCATAAAGAGGACAAAAAGTCTATTATCTCCTATATAAGCATAACATGTCTTAAAATTTAACAAAAGTCAGCAGCTGTTTCAAAAAAATAAAACAGTTTCATTGGAGAAGAGAAAGTAAAGTACGGAATCAGATTATACGAAATTTACCTAGGGTAGATCCAGAACAATATACAGGATAAAAGTATAATATAATAGGCACAAATTGATTTGTATGTCCTACCAAAATGGAAATCCAATTAAGTAACAAACTAATAATGCATACTGATTTTGATCAAGATAGTCAAAATTGAGATCTTATTTAGGATTAGAAAGGGTAGTATAAATTGTAAATCGAAAGATTGTAACACAGATAATAAGATCCTACAAAATTTATAAAATTCATATATATACCAAATATTTAAATTTCAATTCAATACAATAATAAAAAAAATATATAATAAGCACAAAAACCAGCAAGTCTCAGAATATTTTAAGTTCCTGCACGGCACAGTGAGACGTTATTAAGTTACTAGTTATGAGAAGAGGAATAGTCTGATGTATGTTTTAGGTTTGTAGGAAAAGTCTCGATTATTTTAAGTTATTGTAGTGCACAAATTATGAGAAGAGGAAAAGTCTATACATTATAGGTTTTTAATACATATTGGTATCTATTTTCCATTAGAAGAATATTTATAGTAGGCTTTTAAGTCACAGTGGGCAGGTACACGAGAAGAGAAGAGGAAGAGTCCTTCTGGATTAATTGGGTAGAGGTGAATCAACTTCCTTTTCTTAGGAGGACTTTTTTAATAATTTTGAGTAAGGCTGCCTTCACACTTCTTTTATTTTTTTTGTTAGTCTAAAATTGGGATTGGGCTGGGTTATTGGGCTTTAGGGTTGTTGGGCTGTTGAGGAGATTTAACCTAATTATATTTAGTTCAGGGAATAAGATAGACAGTTACACATAGCCGCCAAACTTACAGAACACCCAGCACCCTAGGACGCAGCCGGCAACCCGGGTCGCCGCGTTGCACCCACACAACAGGGTCATTTTCACCCATGCCAGCATACCCACACAAAACATACCTACACAAGTCTTGATCTTCAATGACGATCTCATGCGATCCACAAAAATCGCCATCTGGTGGCACGTGGAGTTGAAGAGAGAAAATATCATAATCTTACATTCCTAATCGCAATGTTGGCTACCATGATTGTAATGACCCAATAAATTTCTTAGAAGTTAAAACGAGACAAACTCTGAAAAACTGAATATGTTTCTTAAATCTTCACATAATTACAGACTGCTTATTTACTTTTTTACAAGTTTGTTCAATTGTTTTATGAGATACTGATAAGAACCTCAGAGGAACCACACCACAAAAGCTATCCAGTGTATTTGGTTAGTCTGAGACCTTAAAAACTCAGATTAGAATCCCATACTTCCAATATGGGACTCAGATCCCATACCTTCCAATTGGATCCCAACATCCCACCATGCTTTGCAGCCTTGATATCCCACACAAGCTAGCTTTGCAGTAGTCCTTTGACTAGACCCGAGCAAACTATACACTGCCAGTATCACACCCTCCCTATACATTTACAGTTAAGACATCGTGGAAGGCTCAAGTTCCAAAATCAGACCGACCATGAATCAGTCAAGGCAATGGTTCAAGGTTTAATGGTTTACCGGGTCGAACTAAAATCGAACTGGTATTAATAAAAATATTTTCAATAATTAAAAATAGACAATAATATTAAACATTATAATATCATAATTTTATGATACTAAAAGCTTAAATAAACTATAAATTAATATGTTGTTAACATTTAAAATACATATAAAAACTTATATAAATTTGTATATCATGCTTAAATTGAAATTTATGTGTCAATTAAAAAAGAAAATGACTATTATTTTAGGTTATTTTTATTTTTTTAAGAAAAAAAGAGTTATAATTGTGATTTATAATTTGTTTTGTTGAACCCTTTTGACCAGTTCTGTGCATGACTACTTTTGCGACTCAACCAAACTGGATAGCTGGTGTTTTGAATAAACTGGCCGATCTGATTTTGAGAACCATAATTAATAAGCACCAAAACACTTTGGGAACCCTCCGATAATTCCTACCTACAAAGGGGAGGAAAAAATCACTTAGACACTCCATAATCACTTAGAGCCAACATCACAGCAGCAGAATATGTAAGACACTTTACTCATCCTTTTCAGTCAGCCCCTCTATAGCTAACCCTTTAAAAGAGATTGGCAATCAACTCTAATACCAATTGTTATCTTGGAAGAACCAAACTAAAAAAGCTAGCTGTTGTAGTTGGAGAGCCCAAGGCCTTATAAACCCACGTTAGAATCCCATGCTTCCAATGTAGGACTCAAGCCCCATACCTTGCAATTGGATCTTAATATATAGCAATCAAATATCTACATATCAATTTGCAATTTAGATTAAAGATTCACAAATACAATTTCCAATCACCTGATTAAGCTGTAGGCGAGTCTTTCTTTCTGCAGCTTTAAAAGCCTTTTCATGGGCAGTTACAGTTTTTTCCTGTTTGCTCTCCTGCTTTTTCTTCTGTTCATACCACCTCCGAGCATTAGCATGTGCTGAAAGAGCTAAATCAACTTCAACCTAGAACATAAACATACTATAGTTAGTATTAATGTTAAATATTCAAGAGGAAAAACATTAAAGATCAGCATGTAAAAATAAGAAGAAAACCAGTGATGATAGTGACAATGACAAGATAAGAGGTTAATGAAAAAGTGAAAATACTGACTTATTGACATAAGACTACCCTATAAGAGAAGGATATAAGGTATCATTCAATGGCATGTTTCTCCGGTCAAATTTTCTGTTTCCCTATCAATTTATGTTTGGTTGAAAATCATATAACAATGGTAGACAATTTAAGAAACACAACCATAAACAGGTCTTCTTATGCACAACAACTTAGATGTGTTCAAGAATTTCTAGGCCGAATAAATTGGTCTGAAGACAAAAAACTAGTAAATTTTTAGGTAGCATAATAGAAGTTCAAGAGAAAACTTCCAAATATCCCATGTCAAGAATTTCTTGATTGTTTACTATTCTGTCTTCTTTAAGGAGAATCACTATCCTCCCTTCTCTTTGTACTTTCTCTCAGTCTTAATGAATTAATTATGTTGTCCAATAAATAAATAAACCTTATCGACAGGGAGTGTCTTTTCATCATCATCCATCTCATCGAGATTATTGCTTAACAATAAAGTCATGCAGTTCCTCTCAAGATGGAGCTTGTCAATGAGACCAGCTACCGGGTTTCCAGCTTTCTTTTCTTCCTTCACCATCCGAGCAAGGTCATCCCAGTTCATACCTTTTGCAAGAGCTACACGAACAGCTAATATAGCAGCATCCACATCTTCCAAGTTGTATTCTATCAATTCTGCCATCTTAACACATTGATCAGCTTCTTTCCTCAAAGCATGTACACGATTTTCCTACACAGCAGAAAAGAGATATATTATGCTGAGTATCAGATGTCCTAAATATTTATTCAAAGCTATATTTGTATCCAGTGTTAATGCATTCAACCATAAGTAATTACTTTAATTTGTAGATTGCAACCAGTACTCAAAACATACATCTGCCTATGAATCTGAAATAGAAAAAGGAATTTAGAGCTTCTTTGGTTCCAAAAAACATGTTTTGTCTTTATTTCCTATCATAAGAACATTTTTGAAACCAAATAGGCCCCCCTTATTTCCTTCCTTTGAAAAGAGAATTATAATTTCAAATAGCATAACCCAAATCTCCATATTTTGCAAAATGGAAGCACAGATACATACCAAAAATGGAAACCATACAAGACGAAAACAGTATGTAAAATATTAAAATTATAGATTGAAAGTTAACATAAAAAATTGAAATTACAAGTGAATGTGCTTTAAAAATGAGAACAGGTCATTAGAAACATAATAAAAAAAACTTTTTATTGTGGTATTCTAATCAATATTAGTACAAAAGTGTAAAAACTAAAAGTTAAAACGGTATCTGACATGGTAAAGACACAATTGCAGCCACCATTTCCATCATGTTCAATAGTATAATGGGCTTCAGAGGATACAACTATTAAACCTTTTGGAAGAGAAATTGCAGTCTTGTAGAATACACTTTTCACATCCTCGTGTTTTACGTTCATTAAGAGTTTTGACACCATATGAGGATCTAATTCAAACAAGAACAATGGCAATAAAGATATGATCCAGAATGAGATATTCTAGAAACATTAACGTATTCCGCATGGCTTAGTTGACTTTCTATAAGAGTGTTGTTAGTTAGGGCAAGGGTACCAACCTGATCCTGCCGAATCTTATTAAGTTTCTGAGTAGCTGAATTTTCTTTGGCTTTCTGCTGATGTTCAGCTCTTTGACTCTCAATTTTGCTGTAGAACTCATCCAAGGCTGCATCAAATGTCTCAAACTTTGTATAATCCCTTGATTTAAACTGGTTGAGTAAGATGGGGCAAAACTCATCATACATCTGTATCAAAAGACACATGATGTAAACACTAAATTCCATAAAAACATCTGATTAAGTAGTTTTTTCCTATTTTATCCTCCATATTTATGATGCTGATAAAACTATAGAGAAATAGAACATAACCTGGCTGACACTTCCTGGCGGAGATATGGAAGAATCCTTCCCCAAATTTTTGTTCTGCATCAAAATGTATCCTTCAGGGACTACTTCACCTGAAATAATATCCTGCATCCAATCTTCAAACTTCACAACAGCTTGGACCAAAGCCTGAACAGTAACATCATCCCACGTTTTATCTTTGAGAACTTTTGTACTGGGAATAAGGCCAGCATCTAATATTATATGTTCAGAAAGTGCAGGTCCATAACCAAGCGCCTCCCCAAGCACAGTTTTCAGTGTTGATGGCTTCACACCTTTCTGGGTTCCCTGCTTCTCTTTTGCTACATTGGAACCAGTACTTCCGTTTCCATTGACCTTAACAGCCTCATCATTTTCATCTTCCTTGGAAGACACTAGAGATGCCCGCAACTTTTCAATAGTAGTTCGCTCAAAAACTCGACAACTTTCCACAGGATATCGATGACGCGACATAATTGCAAGCCCTTTATCATCATCCCTGTTAATGGCAAATTGCAACCACTCCGTCGATCACAGAGACACTTTCAAAATCCCAATAATAGAAAAATTAAATAAGCAGATAACCATGGCCCCAAAAACATTAAAAAAAAAAGTGCAAGCAAATGCAATCTAAAAGTGAACCAATATGAAAGAACTTATCGAAATTAGTTCATACAAAAATTAAAAAGAGAAACTTATTTCATTTTTTTTTTCTTCTTATATAAGTACACATGGAGAATTTATTCCAAAAAGCTCCTAGGCAAGAAATGGGAAGTAGAGGGTAGAAGAGAGATAGTAAGAACCTGTGCGACCGCAGCAGAGTCATGACGGTAAAATTACAATCTGTGAGGAGGATATTCCCCTGAGCATACAGCTCCAATATAACATAGTTTGCATTCTCTCCAAGTCCAAATTGAAAGAGAATAATCTGCCACAGTTTTCATAAAGAAGTTTAGACTATTTTTTTGGGAAATAAACAAAGGGCGATGGATGGTGCATGGAAGAAGGGTTATACTATACCCGATCGTACCCAAGTTGGCGCACATCCTCGAGCTTCCTCGTACGAATGTGCTTCCTCAATTTGAGAGTGAAACCGGAAGGCGTGTTACTCTTGTCACGCATGTAGATAGTAGAGTGCAATCTGACGCCACTCTCCATGAGCAGCAGAACCTTCTCGCTCTCCCCGGATTCCGAAACTCCACTGCTGTTCATGAGCTTGAACACGTAGGTCTACAGAAAGAGAAAATCCAATCGAATTGAATTGCGAAAAGTGAAGGAATGAAAAATGAAAAGGGAGGTACTACCTTGGGAGTGAGATCGTAGACGTTGGAGCAGCGCATTCCGATGAGGCGTCGGAGGCATTTGACCTCCGCAGCAACATCGGCGGTGTTCATGCGAACCTTCACCATCTTGTGTTAGGGTTAGGTTAATCAACTTTGCTTTGCTTTGATAAATTAGAGTGAGGAATAATTTCGCAGAGTATTTGGATTTAACTAATTTCAATAGTTGATTGGTTTAGGTTAGAAGTAATAGGAAACGAAACGATTAAGAGAGTTGAGGGAAGGAAGAAGGAAGAGCATGAATGGGTATCTTCTATTCTGCTTTGGTTGCTGGGAGAGGAAGTGGTGCATTCTAGTTTTGATCTTTCTTAGGTGAATTTTCTTCTTTTTAACCAGTTTTTATTTTATTTTTATTTTTTTGTACATAAAGGGGTTGAAAAAAAATTATTTAAAATAATAGAATAAAGTTTAATTATTTTATAATTTATTTTCTTTTTCTATCATTTGAATTTATGTTTGATATAAAAATTAATAAGTAATTATCAGCGAAAAACTATTAATTTATTAATACAACTTTAAAGTGATAAAAGAAAGATAAAATATAATACAAACAGAGAACGTGGTAAAAGAAAATAAATAAAAATAATAATAAAGCTTAGCATATGTAGAAAAAAAACAAGTAAATATTTTAGGAATAAAATTAAATAAATATAAGAATTATAAAGTAATGTTTTAAAAAATACTACATAAAGTAGTGTAAAAAAAGTACTAAAATAATTAAAAATTTTGTTTATTAAACACTGGTAATAATATCAAACTAATAAAAAAAAATAACATGTGAAATATAAATTGAAATAACATTTTTTTTTCATTTATAGTCTACTTTTCATTCTCCTATCTATTTGTCTTTTGTTTTATTTTTATTTCATCCCATATATATATATATATATATATATATATATATATATATATATATATATATATATATATATATATATAACTTTATCTTATTTAATACATATTTAAAAGAAAACAAAAGGAATATGTAATAATTTAAAAATTTAAGACTATTTTGATTAATTTATATTTTAATTAATATATTTTTTTCATTATAGGATAAAAAAAGTGAGTTGCAAGTTAAACAACTAAGCTAAAACTAAAACTTAGTTGGTGGCTGACTATTTAAGATAACGAATGTTTAAAATTATGTGTAAATATAAAATAACAAAATAATATGTTTGCAACTGGCAAGTAAGTAGACAACATTAAATTATAGGAAAATATAAAAAGAAATTGAATTATGTTTCAAACAATAAAACAATAAACCGTGCAAAAGATTGTTTTAAAAACAATTTTTAAAATAATAAAACTCGTCAAAACACTCAATTGTTAAAATACATTTATAACATAAACTTAATCTTACAAAATATATATAAGTCTAAATAGGATGCGGTTAGACTTAAGCAAATCTATGATTCAATCCAGTATGACACTTATGTTGGATTAAGTTAACTCTTTATATTTTTTTATTAGACCTAATTTAACTTAATTCATTCTTAGGTTGCATTGAGTTACTGGATCATAGATTTTAAAAAAATATAAAGCTTATAATTTTTAAATATTTTTTGTTAACTTTATAAAAATAATAATTTAAAAATGATTTATGTTTTTAATATTTAAATAGTCTAATATTTTAAAAACATATATTTAATTAACATAATAATTTAATAATTTTAGACAATAATTATATAAAACTCAACCTTAGAATGAATTAAGTTAAGTTTCTTATATTAAGTTAAATTCTATTAACGTTAAAAAGTTTATAATACTTTATTCTTCAAACTCATTAATATACTGCATACATGATATTAATATGAAAATGAACATTAACATATGATATATTGTATTAGTTTAGATTTTTAACAATAGTGTATAAAAACAAAATTATATATTATAGTTTCAAAATCTATAACATTATTTTTATAAGATTTAGAGTAGCAATGCTAATTTAGTATAGTTAAAAATAAATAAATACTGACAACTTTAAAAGCGCTGTGAAAGTTATTTACTATCAGTTTTAAAGCACCAGAAAGTATAAAATAATGAAAACAGTATTCAACGCACTTTAGAAAAAAAAGTTAAACATTTTAAAAATAAAGAAATCAAATTAAATAATAAAAAAATCAAAAGACTATTTCAACCTAAAGTAAATTAATTCATTTTGTTTAAACATAAGTTTAATGACCTTAGTATAATTTTTTAGAATGATTATTATAAAATTTAAAAAATTTACTATGTATAATAATTTAATTTTAATCAGATGATAGTATAAATATTTGTTTAATCTAATGGATGACCTAAGATACTCAAAAAATGCTTGTAAAGATTATTTTTTTTCTTCATATTCACAACGATTGGTAATTGCCTTCTCAAAATTTCCCCCCAAATTTTGCAGTGTAATGATTGAATTAACAACTGAGGAAAAACAAAAACTGATACTCTGCCTTCTTTGTCCAGTATATTCATACCAGCAAAAGAAGTGCTTCTACTGTAAACTACGATCCATGATTCTCTGAATACAAACAACCTTTGAATCCAACCATTTTGTTGCAAGTTTTACACATTTATTATTTGCTGCCAATCATCTTCAAAAAAATTTGCTAGTTTTCAGGAAACTTCTATTTATTATGCCACAAACATAAACCATGACGAGTTTGAGGAAATACCATGGTTACCACAAAGCTAAATTTTGATTAGTTATTACAGATATCGTTTTCCATTCATTGCAACAAGCCAAGTTTCATATAACTAAATAAAATATGTCTCGGATTCATTGAAGATGATGATTCAACCCAGTAAATGGAGCAAAAGGCATTCTATATTTGTTGGTCTTGTATGTTGTATAAAAAGTGAGAACATCTCCAAAATTGTGATCAGCTGACCTTGATCTGGTCCCAGAAATATTTATTATTTTAGCATCATCATCACATAATATTGCATAGAACAATCAGAATTTTGAGCTTGCTTCTGTTTGCAATAGTTGGAAACAACTTAGGCATCTCCAACATCCAAATTTTTCCCACAATTCCTACAATCTCTAGTAAAATAGACAAACTATCATTTAACATTGTAGCAACATATGAACGAGATTTTTTGCAGAACCGCACCTTATTACGACACTCGCCATGGTATCCCACTGTGCAATCTCTGTTGTGATTGTTTTTATTAAAAAGAGGACATGGTGATTGTATTAATCGAAATTTGGATGATTGAAGAAAAAAGAGAACTTAAAAAAGTATCGGTGATTTATCCAATAATAGTTTTTGGTAGTAACTCTATCTTGGTCACGTTAGCAATCAAGGATCCGAGACTAAGTTTAGTATTTTATATTAACCGTTGGATTAAAATTAAATAAAGGATTGAGATTTTATGTTACTCTTGGAGAGTTACGGTATAATATATATAAATTATCATTTATTGAAAATTGCATTATTTATGAATTATCTCGTATGCAATGTCATGTTTGATAACATGAAGTGGACAAGGGAAAGTTAGGTAAGTTCCTGAATATTTGAATTCCTATACATCAAAATGAATGTATTATGTACATGACAACATTTCTATCCCCAGCTCTTGTTACATCGGATATCTTTGTTTTATGGCATTTGTCTACAGACGAATATTAGATCCTCTAATGCTATAGAAACCAAAAGATGCGGTAAAATTGCAGCGCCTCCTTTTAACTCAAATCAAAGCCAGCGTCAGCATTTATGGCATACAGTAATTTGGTTTCCAGTTGCTCTTTACTGCATTCAAGAATGAATGAATACGTTGCCACACAAAATACTTCAAAATTATAAAAGTACACCAGATAAAATAAAATTCAAACTACATAACAGATAATCAAGATCATGTGAAGATGCAAGAATATTGCCAAGGCCAAAGAAAAATTATTCCCGTCATCGCGGCTCAAAAACTGTCTTAGTTTTAAGTATTCCTAATGATTGACACAAAATTTGAGCAAAACCATTTTACTGAAATGGAAATCACAAACCAGAGTCGTCCCTTGAAAACATGCGTGAACACCGTCTGAATTAAAATCAGTGTGAAATATTACCAAAGAGAAGATTTTATGAATGGAATCCTGCCCCAAACTTTAAGGACATTCACAAAAACTATATTGTTTAATGAATTAATATCCAAGAACCCTCTAGTAAGGTTTCAGATCAGCTAAAAAGGTTTTTAAATTTTTAAATCTGCTAAAGATAATATTTCAATATTTCTACAACACTACAATCATCATTCTTTCGTGATATTCTGCACTCACTCATGCTTCAACAAGACGGTATCATGCCACATCCAGAGAATCTGATTCTCTCCATTAATTTTAGTTTCCAATGTAATCTCTCTCTCTCTCCCCCTCTCTCTCTATTACATTGTCAAATCAGAATTTCTCCTTAATTACGTCAGTGTTATTAGATCTAACATCTTAAATTTTCTAACCACTCTACAAAAGTAGAGAGAGACAAACAATTTTTCATGTACGCACTGTAAACTACAAAAAAGACAAGCTAGTACTATGACGAACCTTTTATAAGGAGGAAGCTTTAGTAAATTCATACAGGTAGCTGATGTCGGTAGTCGGTCAACAGCTTCCTCTGAAGCATTACCACCGGCCCTACAATAGTAGATATCAGACAATTCCACTCTGATAATTTTGTCTGTAATATATACCACCAGCATTTGTGAAACCACTGGGAGCAAATATTTAATACAATCAAAGCATACCTTTGAATGCAAAACAAAGGTTCAAGATATCGGAATCCAAGCAATGGTCCTCGAGAACAACCTGTCACAAACCTGAAAGGATAATAAATTTTTATCTCATACGACTAACATGTCATAAAAGTAGCAACTAAATCTTATAGCAGTATACATCTTACTTCAAAAAGTTTTTCTTGTTTTCTAATGAAAAGCCTTTGAGAACTTCCCAGAACATCCCAATAACATAATGCTCCTATCAGAAGAAAACACACGTCAGAATTCACAAGTCAAACAAGAATAAAAGAAAAAACTTTAAACCAAAACGATTGAAATGTTAAAAAAATACAGACAACTGATATTTAGCCTAGATAGAAGGTAAAATGTTTCTTGTTTAAGAATTACTGACTAAATGCCCACGTAAATACCGAAAGCCTTACACTATGATAGCCTCCTGCATAGTTTGTATGCTGCCGCAAATCATCAACATCCAAGCTGTCAAGTGAACCTGATATCAACAGCTATGGAAAACAATAGTGTGAAGAAAGTAGAGTACTGAATTACATGGAGACACAAATTACAGATTCTAAAAGAAAACTTGAATTAGTTGAAAATTGAATCCAAGAAAATTGGTAGGTAAACAATATATAAAAAAAGTCACCATACTATGAAGTTCAGCAACAAATAAGTATATTAAAAGACCAAGTCTTTCAGCTATCACATGTTCACACAAATCAACTTTGGCTATTAGTTACAACACATCATTTGGAAATCACTTTATAACGCTAAATGCCAAACTGAACTCCATAAAACCAATTTGAAATATCCCCACTTCCGAAACTTTATATGCATTATTTAAGTTATATCATTAGAAAATGTGGGACTAAACAAGATCCTTGAGACCACCATTAAAGAACCCATCAAAGAGGTTTAGGGTTTAGGGTTTAGGGTTTAAGAGTCTCTCCATTCAGCTCAAAGTTTTTTCAAGGGGGTTGGTTGCCCCTCTCATTTACAGAGATCGGGAATCCATACTAAATTCTTGTGTTTTTAAATGTTTTCTTGTATATATTTTTTCTGTTTTTGTGGACATCATATCCTGACCCTAGTTGTATTTCTTTCCAGTTATATAATAATAATAATAATAATAATAATAATAATAATAATAATAATAATAATAATAATAAAAACACCACCAACGGCAGCAAGAGATCAATTTTAATCCAGAGTTTGCTCTTGTATCTATGTTTGCAGGATAGTATTGTTTGATATTGCATAAAAAACTATTGGAAATTACACAACAATAAAAAATATGATGAATTTCAAAACAAAATTGAGTTTTTCTTATTGAAAATATTTTTAAATTTCCTTTTCTTTACACTCAAGTAATGGGCATAAACTTGGCTGATTCTGCTTCTTTTGCACATTGAAAACATTCCATTGACACAGACAAACTACTAAAACTATGGGGAGAAAAATCACGTGAAATAAGATTACAATACAGAATAATTTACAATTTGAAATTAAAATAAACAAAACTTAAGAATTTGGTATTTATGGTCTTCTCAATTACAACATAGTGGAAGCTTCATTTAGAAGTTCAAAAGGAGGGGAAAGGAATGTTGTCCAAAACCAGACTAGCAACAAGAGAAGAAAATAAATGGAAAAAGGATAATATAAGATCATACTTTTCACTTAATAATTATGGATCATTTGGAACATAATTAGAGCTAAAGACAAAAGATAGTCGAGTACACAGCCATCTAGTAGCTGCATCCATAAATTATAACATGTAGGAGAAAATGATAAGCATCCACTTGTTGATCAGACCCATAAGAATAACATTCAAGAATTCAAATGAAAAAAGCATAGCTTTAGAGGACTAAAAGTGGGTCAAGATAGAAGGAAACCTGGAGTTCATGCTCATTGAACATATCAATCCAATCCTTCTGAATAAGTTGCTGAAACCCTCTCAGGAAATGAGAACTTTGTTGACGTATCTAAGAAAAAATAACTATTTTTAATATAATTGAAGCATAAATGAAGTCACTATGAGATGCAATTCAAATCAAAACAAATTTAAGGCTTGATTGGATAATTTTTTTCCGCAAACATTCCTAGTACAAGAAATATGAATCTAAATTTCACATAATAAAAATTCATTTCGTGCACTTCAACTTTTAGAACAGAGAGCATCTTGAAAAGTCAACATGCATAAGTTGATTTTTTTCTCCTATAAGACTTAATTAAGAAATTTATCCAAATTAAACCTTACTTTACCTGAAAATTCAAGCGGTGATTGGCTACAAGATGTATAAAAGTAATGACATTCTCATTAGTGACACGGATGCTCTTTCCCCCTGGAAGCAGCTCCTCTTCTGTTTGCTCTCCGTATTCGTTGTTTACTATAACAAAATATAGTTCCAACTCCGAAATGTCACCCTCATAATGCTGTTAGTCAAAACAGAATCAGGGAAAAGATTGGCACACTCACTGAGGAAATCAAGGCTTTCCTACAAGTAATCTTTCATTAATTCCCAAAGCAATTGTGTTACAAACCACCCACCCATAGTTCTAACCGAGGAAAACCTTATTAAAATTTCTTACATATTTGAGGTAGCATATCATGTATATATATGGTAGGATTAGTATACATATACATTTGTGGTGGTACAAACATTTATGTAAGATTCATGCTATGTGTTACAGACCCACACCTCAAAATTAAGGAGAAAGCATAAAACATAAGAAAACACTGATATTCTGTATTATTTGCAAATTAAAGGAAAACCAGAAGGATAACAATTCCTACTGCACAGAGCTAGACTCCTCCAGAGCAACCCAATAAGTTCTCTATTCACATCCAAATGCCAAATAACAGAATGCCCACCAATATCCCCCTAGATCCCTTTATAAGTGATTCTCTATGACAGAAAATATACCTCTCTCTTCTCTAACTACCCTTTCCCACTAATCATGCCATCAGCCATATGATTCTTTTTTCTCACATATATCCTTCTCCATCGTAGCTTGCTCCCTTCTTAGACTAGTGGTTCAATAAGCTCACTAACTCTTTGGGCCTCATCACTAAGAAACCCCCTTCCATGCCAAAGTTGGAGCTTGATTTTGACAACCTTAAGGGATTAATTTTCAGTTGTTGCATCAATCATAGGTGATAAGACTTAATTAATGTTTATAGGAATGATGAATTAATACAATTTTCTGATTCTACACCCCCTCTTTCGTTCCAACATTGAAGCTAGAACTTGACAACACAGTGCCATCAACACGTGACTTTACATAAAAAAAAATCATGTCAAGCTGTATAGTTATAATAAATTTTTATAACTTACACATGGAAGTACGAGCTTAAGCTGTTATTTTATTTGTAGAAACCTTGTTCAGTCTAGTAATAACTAGCATATCTAAATTAATTTCATGAGTTCTCTCAACATTAAAAAAGATGTCAGGAAATTAAAGCCAAAGAGGAGATATTACCTTCAGAAAAATAAGATGACGATACAATTCTGGATCCAGGGAGGGCAAGTCATTTAAATAGTTGTGCCTGATGCAATGGAAAAAAAAGGGCATAAGAAAGCAGGAAGTACAACAAACACATGCATTTCAAATAAATTATAATTTCTCATTTTCTAGTACAGGCATGTTTCTTTAGTAATTTGCATGGCTTTATCCTATTGGTTTGTGCTATTTCTCTTTTGTTTATTTCTACACAGGAAAGAAAAATCTCAGCGTTCATGAAGGATGGGAGCTGATTTGAATTGGATGAAGGAAGGAAATAGGAAGTCAGAGATCATCATACCCCTGGAGTACATGACACTTGTGAAACATTCAAAATTATATTGGGACATTTTAATTGGGCCTCAGTTAGGAACCCTATGTTTCACCATATTTTGGGCTTTCTTTAGGATCCTTCTGTTTATAGGCTGGCTTTAGAAACCCTACATATTAAAGGTGTTAGAAACTCTAAGAGAAGAGTTGTGTCTCTGTTGACAGCTAATGATCTTTCTATTTTATTTGTTATAGTGTTTTTTTGACGTCCATGAGGAACTAAACTTTGTTTACAGTCCAAGGATAATAAACGATGATGAGGTCTAATCATTCTCTATCTCTTTATTTTTTGAGCATTTAAATTTCTAAAACGCCAGGTACCAAATTTCTATTTTGTTGGCTGTGCAAAAAGTGTTTTCTGTCCAATGAACAAGATAGTATAAAACAAAAATAGGACAGTAGATCTATACTTTTGTATTAATCCTTAATAACTAGTGAAACCAACGACATCAGTGTAGAAATACAACCTAATCTAAACATTTGTGAATCTCAACATCAACATGAAGCAGCTGTAAGCAAGTAAACAAATGCATGGAACTCAACATTTGAGCATTGAACAATCTAAATTTAAATAGGGTAAAAATAATAACTGAAGCAAACAAACCAAGAACCCCAAGTCTTACTTTTGTTTCAATTTGCTCAAAAAGAATGTAGCAAATGGTAAATCAACCAGAATCCCTTCAAACATAGCCTGCAAATGTAATTTGTAAGCATGAAGTTTGGTTCTAATCATGCAAAATCAATACAGCAAGAGAACGCAAGCACACAAGAAAAATAATGCATACATACAAACAGATACAGACCAGCGACCACCGTGACAAAGAATAACAGCCAGTGGGTGGCAGATTCAACCACTATGCAAGATCCCACCTCACTTCAAATTGCTTGAGAAAAACTAAACCCCAAAACATTTTCTTAAGGAAGGAGAATAGCCAGGTCGTAAATGAAGTATTTTGGCCTTGTACTAGCCACTATACGACTACTTAAAACACCCCTCTTACACCTAGGACATGAAATCTGGAGAGTGATGTTTGCATTGCCTCTGATTTCATGTCTAAAATGGACGGAATAGGATAACTGCCTAGATCATATAGGGACTATTTTGAGCATTTTTTAGACATTATGGGACATCTAGACACACCTTATTAAAGAGACAGGGAGGAAAAGGAATAGAAACATACCTTTGCAAGAAGAGTACCAAGAAAATGGAAAAATTGAAGATGTTGTTCATGTATCATTCCCGACCCAGGATTAGGATAAAGCAGGTGATCTGCTGTTTCCTGGATATAATGATGTTCAGAACATCAGATAACCACAAACCAATAAATCACAAAGGTAGGAGTATTAGATGAAGCAATGTTCAATCAAATAATTCAAAACTTAAAAGCTTATTTGTTTCTGTAATATTTTCATTGACACAATACAAAAACAGTTGGTCGTGGTTATTTGGAATAATAGCAGTTATATTTTCGAACTTCAGTATTAAATCTGTCAACATTCTGATTCATTCCTAAAGAAAGCTACTAAGAATAAGTAAAACTCTTACAGAACCCATAATATGAGCAGAAAAGTGCTTCAATAGATAGCAGAACAGTTGTAACAAACTACAACTGTCAAACAATTATAATAACAAATAGATTTTCAGAAATAATAAACGAAAAGACATTACAAAAGCATATCTCTAACATTTAGCAAACAACTGTAATGTTATTCACTTGAATTCTTGTCTTTCACACTTCACCCATACACTCCAGACCAGCCACCCACTATAACAACAGTTAAAGGCTTCAATTTGCTGCTCAAGTTTGGCCAATGTGTTGAAATGAAAGTACTAGCACGGTATATAGGAACAATTCTGCTTAAAGCTTAGGCTATATGTGATATGTTTTGTAACAAACCAGCTTATCCCAAAAGGTTTGTCAGGTAAAAGCACATGAAGAGTTTAATATATAACATGCCCTCCCAACACAGGAACCCTTGGGACTTGAAGCGAGGATAAATATGATGCACACAAGCTTACCATGTGATCAAATTCCAATTCAATTAAGAAAGGCACCGTTAATAAAATTCAAACACTAGACCACACGATCATAGAGGCTATGACATAAACCTACTTTCCTCAAAGGTTCAACTAAAACGTGAAGCACATAAATGGTTTTACATCTAACAGTTGTTATATGTTAAGTACATGAAACATAAACAATAGATAACATCCATATGACCTTAAATAGTCCATACTGCACATCAAAGGCAGCACGTGTGATGTTCTCCATGAAATCTTTGAATATTCCACCTCCATCTATTCCAGCCTCTTCAACTCCAAATTCATTAACAAAAGCCACACGAATCTGAAAATTCCATTGAAGGATGATTTACATGTTCTCTACTGAAGGGAAGAAATGGTTAGTAACCATGAGCAGATGCATTACCAGTCCTCGAAGGTCCTCTTCTGATAGCTGACTCATTTGATTATATGCATCTTCCAAAATATGATTCCGCCGTATTTTGAACCGGTTTCTGGTAAAAACAGCCTGAGATCCATGTCTTTGCCTAGCAGCAGCTAGTTGAGACTGATGAAACACAACAGTTAGTTTATGAAACATACCAGTGACAAATTATGATATTCTGAAACTCCGAATTTACTCAATATCATTCTCTGTAATTCTGTAATGCAAAAAATAACCCATATCTGAATCAAGTACGAATTTAGATTCTTACTGTGAAAATTTTAGCCCTGCTAGTAAATGGTATCAGGAAAGGAGCCTGCTTCAAAATTTCATTTGCTCTTGTATTTTCTATAACAGCCTGCAGAAAAAAATTGCACAACTAACAAATTAAATTTCTGTTTAGATTACCCAAAAATATCAATTGTAAAAGAAATACCTGAGAGATAAAGTAGTCATTCACCCCATCAGCATGGAAATCACTGGGGGATGTAAACTGTCGTCTGTTGTTCCAATCTTGCAACTATGGGGAAAGAATAAAAAAAAAAGTAAAAAACGAAGAAAATAATAAAACCAATTCAGATGTATAAGGTGGTTATTAGTAAAAAATACATGTAGAAGCCTTTTTTCAGGAAAGAGGTACCAAAGAACTTGTATTTTGAATAAATATTAGAAGATTAAGGAGAACATCAAAATATCCTTTTTAATTTATAGAAAAGCAATATCTCCAGTTTTTTTATAAGAAACAAATAATATATCATTTGTTTGTTATAAAAAAGGACCAGTGGAAATATTATTTATTAGTGAAAGAAATACGAAAGCACCACACAGAAAGGATAAGATATTCTTCAAAGTGGAATAAAAAAAATAATAATAAGGAAAAAAAAAAGAGAGAATAAAATTGCAATAGGGCTGTCCAATTTCTCTGAAACTCCCTTGAAATAGTTGTAGCATAGTACGATGGAAGCCATGAACATATAAAGCCATCCTATAGTAAAGAATAAAGATGCCCTTGAGAAAACATCAAAATATCAGGACATCTTCCAAGTTCAGTAGAGCAGAAACAAGAAAATAGATATACAATAATGATTGTTTTTACTGTTATACCTGGGACAGAAGCTCGGACACAACGTTGCTAACCCTCTGTTGAATGGCTTCAAATTGCTTTTTAATAGCTGTGCTAACTGGAACAGATTTTACTGAATTAGTAGAGGTGGTATGATTCACCCACAATAGCTGCCACAAAGCCTGCAGAAACAGCAAACTTCAAAAACTAGTTGCAACTGAAAAGCAGATTACATTTGAAAGGGGGCATTGCACTAAAACATTAGGGAGGTTTGGGATATTATTGTTCAAGACCACCAATTTTCCAAAAAATAATGTAGTCCAATTTTTCAGACTCTTGTGTAGGTACACATTGGTATACATACTTGAAAATTTTCGACTCTCCTTGTTTCGATCATGCAAGGAAGGTTTTTTTTTTTTTCCGCAATTTTAGCAAGCTGTCAATTAATTCCCCTCCCACAGGATTACAGATTTCAATCTCTGAACTCCCAACAACTTGTCTCACTAAAATAGGCATTCCAAAAACATTACCTGCCTCAGCAGAATGATAAGGCTTCTAATATCCTTAAGTGATAGTGGTTTCTCCTGCTCATAATATTCCTCATTATCAACTATCATGAGCATATGCCTGATAAAAGAACAACAGTTTAGGATTTATAAAAATTCACACAAACTACAGTTCATGCATCAACAAAAGCATTTATGAAATAGTATAGAAGATTCTTACTTGTAGACAGGACAGAATACAGAAAGAGGCAACAGCCAACCTGGCGCATCTCCTGAGAGGTATGATAACCGCTCACACAAAGATGACCATTTTTTGTTCTCATGGCACCGTTTCATAAAATTCCAAAGTATAGGAACAAGCTCAGTTCTGTAGGCAAGTACAGTCATAATCTTTTCAAGTGGCAATGTGTTGAAGATAACATGTAAAAACCCACAAACTGCACCAACGGCTGCAACCTCCCTGTCCTCTGGCTCGCAATCCAAACCATTGGCTGAAGAAAAATCTCTAAATAAAATATTTGTCTGCATGTGACAAAAATCACAATTCATCAATTACTCAAATTAAATGGTAAAAAGAAAATTATGACCTTGACAGAAATCACTCGCAAGATGGTTTACCAGTTGCAAAAGGAAGCGAGTATCTATGGCATTACAAATTTGTTGATTCAATTTTCTATCCAAAGCTGCTTCCATGACTTCATCTTCCCCAGTCATTTCATCCTCAGCAATTTTAGAATCTGAAATTAACACTGCAAAGCTTAAAAGCAAATGGTAAAGAGAGAGAGAACAATCTCACACTTACCAAAAAAATGATAAATTTAATAATTATGATTAAATGCAGTAACCAGGCTTCAGATTTGTGTGCAAATCTAATATAGAATCAATAGCACACTTATTTTTGCATAGTATGTTGACTTCAAAGAAAAAGTATGCCCTTCTACATTTGAGCATTTTCTAACTAAACACTCAGTGTTTGCACATAAAACTAGGCTGTGATGTCATGGTGTTAGAAATAGTATAAATCACTCATGTTCCATCATCTAATAAAAACTTAAGCCCAGTTATCCGATAGAACTGTATTCTTGGTTTATATCAATTTTCTGCCTATGGTTTTTACATGTTATAAGTTACTTCATTAAATTTTTCAGACACTTAGGGCTGACTATCTACTTTCTCTTTTCCCTTATATGATATTGTCCCATGAAATGTAATTGACTTCTTCCCTCCTAATATTAATGTATGTGTATATATTTAGGATTATATATAATAGGAAAGGTGATCCATCCCTTGACTATAGGGTTGGATGATTGCCTATTTACTCGCCTTAGGAGTTTATATGTGTATATATACAAATGTAATTGTACCCTATGATAATCAATAAAAACTTCAGAAATATTCTCACTAAACCAATCTTAACATTCTTCCTTCTTTTATCCAAAAATTGGAAGACAGATAGAAACAAAATAAAAGAGATGAAAGATGACGTTCAATAAAATAAAAAAGAAAAGAATATCCTTGATAAGAAAATCTTGAGTGTGTGTGATCAGAAACCATACTCTCTCTACCATTAGATCTTGTTGGAGATGGATATGATTCCAGCAAAAATGTAGTAACAGCAGCAAGGTCTATAGCCTGGATACAACACAAATACAAATCAACCTAGTTTTTAAGAATAACTTTCAAACTTCATTGACATCAAAGATTGAAAAACATAGTTTAATATGTTTAACTTTGAGATTTATACTTACGAGATACTAGTACGTATATACCTAATTGAGCACAATTACTCACCAATCAGAGGTTACTTTCTGTGCTCTAAAGCAAATAAGATTATTCATCTTTTCTATGTTTATCATAATATATATAAAGTCTCCATCTTTCATTCAAATGGAATAAAAGTGTTAAAGGTTCAAAAACACAAGGCATAGAGTTAAAGCTTCAAAAACACAATGCATTAAGATTACACATGACATTACAACTTCATTACATGCCCATCCAATAGAGTTAATTTTGACTATACTCATAGCTCCAATCCCTTCAATTCCATTTGACAGAATGTGGGCTTGGTTATTATAATGAGGACTTCGTTTAAGTGAGTTAAAAATAAAAGTAATTTAATGAGGATAACATTTGAAGTTTTACCAGATAAGTTAAAAAAAAATTATAAATAGAAAATCTTAACCATTCAAAACTTTATTCTTACAAAACCACCATTTCTCTACAACTTTCTTTCTCATTCTTCTCTCTAAATTTTCCACTCTCTCCTTTATCTTTTCTAGATCCAAGCACGCCTTAGTGCTCTTGAAGTAGAGGAGCATATCTAACCGATCAAAATTTTCAATAGAGTAAGTTTTTCTTTGCTAATTTTTAGAGCATTTACATGTAAATTTGATAAGCTTGCATGTGAGGCTTACAGTGCATGCATATGAATTTTTGTCGGACAAAGATGAATTTTGATTAGTTTAGGAATATTATGGTACATTCAATTTATTAATTAGAGTTTTTTATGAGCAAGATTTGACTTCCTGTGAGTTTATGAACTTTTGGAATTTTTGGAAACGGAGATTGTAAATTGAGATAAGGGAAGCTAGTAAATCTTTAATTTTCATAATATTCTAGGCTAAAAGATTTTGACTATGATAATTACTTAGTCACATTGTTTGATTTGTAGGGATTTGATTATTGATATTTAAAAGTGATTGAATGAGTTGAATTAGAATAATGATGTGTAGAAAGATATGTGTGAAATGTTAAGATAAGATAATTACATTTGGACTAGGTATAACATGCATTAAAAACAATGGGGTAATAGAGTCTCAAAGGATTATGTTTGGTGCTGGAAATTTGTTTATTGTTTGTTTCGCAAGTTTGTTATCTGCCTATTTCGTTCAAGTAACAGTTTATCACTCAAGGACAATGTACAACAGAGAGGTAAGGGCTGCTCTCAAGTATATTGTCAATCAAACAAAGGAATATTTGCTTAAACAAAAGGGTGTTGCACTCAAGCAAAATTTCCTAGTGTGTTTTATGTCCGAACTTTTAAAAACATAAAAAATAGCTCTGAACTCTAAATTAAATGTTTCATATATACAAATTAAAGCCTTAAAAATAAGGAATCCAATGAAACAAGAATTAGCTAAATATGATATCTACAAATAATGTTATGATCTGAGAGAATATATATATATATATATATATTAGCAGTCGATTATGAATAACTCTCTTAGCTCGACTAAGCCTCTTAGTTTCAAGAACACACAATACCACCATATCAATGTCATCTTATAATTCATCACAAGTATATGTATGTATATACAAATAATGTTATGATATGAGAGCAGTCGATTATGAATAACTCTCTTAGCTCGACTAAGCCTCTTAGTTTCAAGAACACACAATACCACCATATCAATGTCATCTTATAATTCATGACAAGTATATGTATGTATATGTATGTATATATATATATATATATATATATATATATATATATATGTGTGTGTGTATAACTGTGTATGTCATATGTCATAGTAAGTCGAGTTAGGAATATGATCCATAATCGGCAGAGATGTGTGTAGTTGTAGTACCTAGGAAAGAAATGTGTGGTATAGTGTGTAGGGATATTAAATTGGGAATTCAATAAGATTATACTGACTTTACTAATCATTGAAATCACATAGATGAAAATATTAGGTGGTAAGAAAAAAGCTCCTAATGGCTTAGGTTGCGGTATTTAAAAGAACTGTGTCTTGATGAGTCATTTAGAAATTTACTTTGATCACACATGAGTATGTGTATATATTATATGGAGTACTCTTATGTTCAACACTTTGAGAGTTGGGGTGTGACAAGTGAAGAATCTCATAGTGTAATTTAACATTCAATCTTCCGAAAATCATCTCGAGTCTGTGTGACATGATAATAATCATATATGGGTGTGATGTGATGTATTTAGGTTTGTGTGATGTGGTGGTTGGCCCGTATAGGTGTGAGGTGATATATTAACTCTAAACTGAATTTGTGTAATAGTAATATATTTAAAAATGTACGTATGTGTTATTTTATAACGAATTCAAATTTGAAATATGTTTATTTTGAATCACTAGTTTATCTTGTGTCTTGTGTGTTGGTTTAAACTGTCGTAATTGTGTATTTACATGAGAATAAATAATGCACTTGTTAGGCCTTAGTAGAAATAGGCTTGATACAAATAAAATTTTAAATGTTTTTATTAATTCATTTTTTTTAATATATGTATGTAATTCCTTATGAGGAGGAAATCTATATTTAAAAATATTTTTGTACATGTAAATTGTATAAATATTTATGGTATGTATTTTGGGGTAGTTACGGTATAGGATAAAATCATTAATACATAGCTAATAGCAAATTATCCATAAGCATTAATTTTGCTACAAAACCACAAGTTTTGTCCTGCAGCTTGCAGGTGAAAAGCCACAGATTAATCCATGAAATGGTGTAAAAGAAATTAAAGTCTATCTCATATCCTGTTTTATAGAATTTTTAACTTTCTTCTCTCTGCCTTTTTATAACCACCTTACTTAAAAACATGATAAGAAAACTCAAGGGGAGGTCATCAATAAATAAATACCAAAAACCTTAACTGTGTGAACTGTATATCTGCCAAAAAATGACACCTTCCAGAGGCAGTATCTTTCTTCCGATAAGATAACACATTTGGCCTCAACTTGGTGTAAAGTTCACAATCATTTTAGACATTCCCTTAAAGACATGTCTTGGGCCTAGGTAGCTTTGCTTCAGCAATGTTTTCTATCTCGACTAGAATGACTTACTTTTAGGAGGATTGTTTTCCTCCAATCTCTATAATTTTATATTCATGTATTATTCTATAGGAAAAGGGAAAAACACGTCGATTCAAACACCAAACTTTGACCAAGTCCAAGTAAGTCATGAAGTGAAATATATGAGGCAAGTTAGAAATTAGAATAACAATTACAAATGGCAATTGTAGTCTCCTTACCATATCATAGGAACAGTCAGGTCGAGACAAAGCAATTCCACCAGTTTCTAATATATTTCCGAGAAGACAGGCATAGGTAGGAAATTCTTCTGATATATCCATAGGAAGAGAATTAATCAGATTTGGCACCCATGTTGCCATCTGATGAATGTAATGTTGGCCCAATCCCTGCTTTGCAAATACCTGAGTAGAAAAAAATAATCCAACTTTTCACAAGACTTTTCAAGGAGAAAGCAATTAAAAGATAATTGTAGAACATTAACAAGCGATAGAAAAATTCATCATGAAGGATGGTGATATGAAAGGACAAAGGCAAAAGAAAAAAAAGACAGATAATTTCATATTTAATCAGTTCAGATGATCCCCCAATCCCCTAGATTTTTCAATTAACAAGCAGAGGTCCTGAGCACATAATAAAGATTATTTTTTTCCATATTGTCCTTTCACTTTTGAGTTATGAATTGCATGTTGACTTTTCCCTTAGTTTAAGTTCACTGGGTTATATTGTATATCAGTAGATTTCACATTGAAGATCCATCAGTGCAAAGAGAGTTTGGAATGTCTAGTCGTATGCACTAAATTATTTAATTTTCTGTATTTTAACAGGGAGAAAGAAAGGAATTTTAAAGGAGATTAAAATACCGAGTAAAAATTTTTTCAGTGATTTCCAAGAATTCCATCATCATCATACATGGTTTCTATGTTAAATGCCTAGATCCTAAAACCTGTAAGCCCACAATCCTGATATTAGTTCCCCCTTTATATTTACAAAACAGATAAACATTTTTTATGAACAATACCTCTCTTTAACATCTTCTTATGACAGAGAAAAGGATGTCCATCAAATAGGTTAGTACAATATATACCTGCTTTAAGTTTGGAAAAACATGCCACAAGAAAGGAATTGTAAGGATCTGTAGTGAGAAGCTATATGCTGGATCAGTAGGTGAACAGATACATGGCTTCTGACCAATGTGGCATATTAGAACAGTAAGCACACGCTCCAATGATGATTCTTTTTCACTGTAAACACAATTTTCAGCATTATCCTGCAGTAAATCATTTAGGTAGTTTATGGGTTCAAGTGAAGCATGGTATAATAGATAAAATGAATATCATACAAAATAACAAAGCTAGAAGCAGTCGGAATAGAATTATGACATGGATGGAATATAGGATTCAACTTTACATTTGATACAGTGGCTCAGAATTCCTCAAATTAATAATTACACAGAACGATGACATAAACATATGCAATGCACCGCATTATTTCTTCAAACACATTAACCACTTTCATTAATAATATAAAACAAATATTGATCTAAAGAAAAGCACATTATGAGTTTCAGTGTCCACTGAAGTAGTTCATCAAGCTCCCATCTAAAAAGAGGTTGCCATCTCCTCTCATATGGCTTCCATGGGTCCTATATTACAACAGAAAAGCTGAATGGCAAATATGACCTAGCATGGTCAGCTTCGGTGGAACATTGGTTCCCTCATCGGGTTATCGTGACCATATTGAAAAATAAAGAGAAGAAGTGCCAATGGATAATTGATTCGCGTCCTTCTAATCACATTTCTTTATTCACATCCAAGTATGCTCCAAAATTTCCTCATTTAATTATTCTGGTTCCATAGTTGCCTTAAAGGGAGTTGGCCAAGTTTCACTTTCTTCTTCTTTAAACTTGGATTTTGTCCTCTTTGTTCCTGATTTTCCTTAATCTAATTTCTCCCAATCAATTAACAAATCCTTAAATTGTTCTATAACATTTGATTATGTTTTTGTTATATAGAAGCATGGCACGAGCAGGACTTGAACCCAAAGGATTTGACTAATTTAAGACCAATTCCTCTATGTCCAGTTATGTAAACCCCTCTCCAATGCTTTTTTTCATGATCTTTTGAGTCATCCACACTAATCAAAATTAATGATATTTCTTGGACTCACCTGTCTACAAATATTAGAATGTGAATCATCTCCATTAAATAAACATATTAGGTTTTCTTTTCAAAAAGGATCTAAAATAGAGTGTAACTCTGTTTTTGGACCATCACTTACATTTTGAGTTCAGATACTTCACATATTTATTAATGAATATTCTAGACTTACTTGGGCTTATTTAAAGCAAGATCAATCTAAATTGTTGTCTATTTTTCCATCATCCTTCAATGAGATTAATTTGGCAAAACAAATAAAATTTCTAGGATTGATATGCCAAAGAGTATTTTTCTTCTGATCTCTCTTCTTTATTATCCACACAGAACATTTTACATCAATCCACATGTCCTCAATGGTATAGAAAAAAAAAGGACATTAAGTTGAAATTGAGCATACCTTAATCCTTGGTGCAAATGGTCTTGTTCATCACTAGGGTGATGCGATTCTTACCCCTTCATTTTAATTAATAGAATTCTTTTGCTTCATTTTCAAACAAAATTCCTGATTTCATTCTCTTTCGGATGAACCTTTATATCATGTCTCTACTAATATATTTGGTTGTGTTTTGTTACGATATGTTTCTCGATTTGGACAAACTCACCTGGTAAATATGTTTTTCTAGGATATTTTCATCTTCGAAAAGGATATCAATATTCACCAAGTACCAAACATTACATGTTTGCAAATATAACTCCCTTCTTTTTTTCTTCCGTGCAAGTATTTGATTCCATTCATCTTGTTTTCCCTGTGCCATCTTCATTAGTATCCCCTACTTTTGTGAATTCCACTAATGAAGTAATTCCCTTTCCACCCAATAACCTACTTGAGTCCTCTCTGCTGCCTCCTCTTACATGCCAAGGCACACCATGAACTAGTCCCATATTACGAGAGTCATCAAATCATGTCCTTCATCAATTGCTCGTACCATGATTCATAATGATATGATGATGATTATGGTTTGCCAATTGCTCTTAACGAAGGTATTCGTCTACCTATAATCCTAACCTAGTTTATAATTTTGAGTTATCATTTTGTTTTCTCATTCTATTCCTAGAAATGTCCCAAAAGCACTTGCTCATTCTTGAAAATAGTGGCATATTGCAGTTGGTTTCTCTCCCCTTGGGAAAATAACAATTGGAAGTTAGTGGGTCTACACCATTAAAATTAGGCCTAATGTTGAACTTGAACGACCTAAAGCTAGATTAGTAGCTACACACTACAATTGAATATATGGTCTTCATTATTGTGGTACTTTTCCATTTGTTGCCAAAATCACAATTGCTCATCTTTTCGTTACTATGACCATTTTTCACCATAGGCCTATTCACGAGTTAGATATTAAAGAAGGAAAAAAAAATGTCTCTCTCTACGGAGAACTAAAGGAGCATCTTTATACAGAACAATCTCATGGGTTTGTTAACCAGTGGTTAAGTATCTAAATTGCATTAGTCTCTCTATAGGCTAAAACAATCTCCAAGAGCATCATCTGGGACATTTAGTTACATTGTGCAAGTGTTTGGGTTGAAACATAGCAATGCAGATCATTCGATTTATATTTTCATATTTCAATTGGTAAATGTGTTTACCTAATTGCCTACATGGAATAGAAGATCGTTATTACTATAAACAATGCTTCTTAAATTTCCCTGCTAAAAAAACTCTTAACTATCAATGATCATCAGAGATTACACCCAATGGAAACTCAACACTCAAACCCTCAACTCAATAATCACAGATCCTAATTTATTTTATGATTTATACCCTCAAATTCTCTGTTTCTCCTAGAAATTCCAAAAATGTCATTTTTTGCAAAATTGTGGCCCTTTTATAAAAACTCACATTACATGTTGCATTACAACCTTTATTTGAATGAACACATTCAAAATCAATCTTGTGACATTAGTTGTTTATTACAAAAGTCTTCCTTAGTTATCAACAAAACTTTTGATGAGACCAATATCCAAAATAACAAAAGCTCCCAAATACAAAATAAAGAATAGGAAGCATTACAATATACACCATGGTGAACATATTTACAAATTAGGATAATTATTAATTTAAAAAATAATTAATAGATAATGTACAATGACAGTTAATATAAATATGTTAACCAATATGTCTAAATTGTTCCTTGACCTTAATATGGCATTAGACGGAGACAATTTTGTAGGGTGCCAAGAAATAAAAATAATAATAATAATAATTGCAATGTTACCTTTCCTGTAAGAATAATTTCTCTAAGTAGACTAAATGCATTGTTTTGAGACAGACATCCTACTATCTTACAGCTCCATGGTAGCTTGGGATCTATCAACAATACTAAGACTTCCAATAAAGGAATAGCTGATGCAGTAGATTCCTTCAGAGTTAATAAAAGCTGATCCTTCAACTGATACCTGTGCAAAAAAAAAATTACTATATAAGCATGATAACACACAAACCCAATACCTACCTATCAAATCTTATATCATATATATATGAAGATTTTATGTACCTGAGAAAAAAAAAAAAAAAGGAGCAAGCAGTATAAATACAAAGATTCTAATGTATCCAAGAAAGAACCCAACGTTTCAAAGTATTCTTCCAAATAAATAATACAGCAACATCAAACTCCATGGCAAAATATGTCTTCCTTTTGATAGGTCAATGACAGTACAAACTTCCAGGTTATGTCGTTGAACACAAACAAATCACCAAATATTCAACCACATATAATTGTCATTCTTGGTGACTCCATATATGTCATTATTGCAGAAGTAGAAGTGGAACAAGCCAAACACAAACCAGAGCCCCAGTCTAATTTATTATCCACCATAAACTGGGTTCAAAATATATAATAATCAAAATCTTATTGTGATAACTTTTGAAGAAAAAAGTCATTTCTTCTTAACAATTAAGCTATGCCTATCCCACAAAAGCCATTAGCATATATTTATTTAAAAATTATAAATAAAACATACAAAAGAGAAGCATCAAGAAAGCAAGTAATAGAAATCGTTAATGTTGAGACATGTTGTTTCTCTATCTTTTTGTATTCTTTGTGTATGTTTCTTAGACTAGGGTTAAGGGTTTGGGCTGAAGCCCATATCCTCTTTATTATGTCTCCTTTATTTATAAATATAATGTAACAGTGTCTTTTCACATTGTATTGAAACCCTAAATAAGTTTCTCATGTTGGTATCAATGCGGATACGACGATCCCGCACTAATTTCCGATCATCCCTGTCTCCGACCACCGTGGGCCATCGTTCGCCGTCGGCCACCATTTAGTTTGGTCTGATGAAGGTAGAGTTGTGTGCGTCTCAAAGAGCGTGACCCACTCCTATTAATCGCTCCTCCATCTACGGCCTCACACGCTGTCACGCGCAGCTTCTCCAGGCAAAGCCCTCAGGCGCATGTGTCCCACGTGCCACCCTCCAATGGCCAGAATCAAGGTCGATTACCACCGATCGACTCGTCGGCGTCCTCCGAGTCCAATAGTGCCCTTCTTTTTCTGTTTTGAAAACTTTAGAAGCTAGGTCACGTGGGTACCCTATTGGTTAGGTTTATCCTTCATCTCTGATTTAGTTAGATGGCTTCATCTAGTGCTTTGGCTTTCTCTGCTACTCCAACCATAACTCTGCATCAATTGAACTATGGTTTCTAGGGCAAAAGTATCATGACCATTTGGAGAAAGATGTGAACTTTGTTTCTACCTCAGAGAGGTCTGAGTGGGAGAAAATAGACTTCCAACTTTGTGCAATCTTATGGTAGTATGTGGAACCTAAGGTTCTTAAGTTCTCATGTCATTCAAAACATGCTCTTCCTTTTGGAAAAAGGCTCAAGACATTTTTGCTAACGATATTCAGCGTCTCTTTGATGTAACTCAAAGAGTGACGTCTCTCAAGCAGATAAATCATGGCATGATGTCACACATAATTAAAAAGGATTCTTGTGGCAAATACATTAGAGGAGTTAAACTTCAAACTGGATAAGTTGTATATGGTCCTAATTTTGAGGAGTCTACACTCTGATGTTGATCATGTACGTGATCAAATGGATAATCTTGTTACGAGGCTGATTCGGGTTCCTAATCTTATAACAGATAAGAATCAGGTAGAGACAGTTGAAACTTCAGTCATGGTTGCTCCTCATGATCGAGGGGAAGGACGTAACAGTCGAAGAAGACGTGGAAGTTCAAAAGGTCATCCTCAATGTTCCTATTGCAAGAAGATGGGACAAACACAAGAAAACTATTATTCCTTACACAGTTTTCATGGCAAGAATACTATTGCCCATGTCTCTAAGTCTGAAAAACCGGATATGAACATCTCTAATGAGGAGTATCAAGAGTTTTTGAAGTTCAAATCAGAAAAATTTAATAGTCAGGGTCAATCTTCTTCAATGCCTAGTGTTTCAACAGCATGCATGCATTTCTCAATCTGTGGAAGGTTAGAACCCATGGATTCTTGATTTAGGTGTCTCTAATCATATATCTGGTAATAGTTCCTCATTTTCCTCCATGTACTATCCTAAAATTCCTATCCTAACCCCTTCTTTGAATTTAAATTTTTTTTTTTTTCATTCTGTTAAGGTTCCAACATAAAACCAATTAGCAATATGTAGAGTAGTCTAACATGTATTTAAACCATACTAAATGACATGAAATAGGCGATATGGGACTTTCAACACGCTCCCTCCAACGAAGCCTGCCGGACCAGGCAAAGGGTACTTTCGACCCACAACAAAAGGACAACTCTTGGCCCAAGACAATAACCGAAAAGATGTTAGGCTTTGGCTCTGATACCATGTTAAGGTTCCAACATAAAACCAATTGGCAATATGTGAAATAGTCTAACATGTATTTAAACCATACCAAATGACATGAGGTAGGCGATGTGAAACTTTCAACATTCCTAATTGTCCTTATAACTTGATTTCTCTAAGTCAATTGACTCGTTCTCTAAATTGTTCTGTAACCTTTAATCCCAATTCTTTTGTTATTCAGGAACATGGTTCGGATCGTCTGATTAGAGAAGGACATGAATCACGTGGTTTGTACTATCTAAATCCAAGTCCTTCAATGTCATGTCTTGCTTCTCCTGCTCCTAAACTTTTGCATGATCGTCTAGGTTACCCAAGTTTACCAAAGTTGAAAGTGATGACTCCTAATCTCAAACATCTTCAGGGTTTAGAATGTGAATCTTGCCAATTAGGAAAACATGTTAGGTCTACCTTTCCTAAACACTCTGAAACTCGATATAATTTTTCTTTTTCAAATATTTATTCTAATGTTTGGGGACCGAGTCGTATCTCTTCATTTGGCTTTTGATATTTTGTATCTTTTATTGATGAATTTTCCAAATGTACTTGGGTTTATTTCATGAAAGACAAATCTGAAATTTTGTCTTTTTTTTTGTCCTTTTTCAATGAAATTAAAAATCAATCTGAGAAGAGAATTAAAATTCTCAGAAGTGATAATGCCAAAGAATATTTTTCAATCTCCTTCTCTTCTTTTTTATCTTCCCAAGGCATTTTACATTTGTCAACTTGCTCTCATACTCCACAACAAAATTGTATTGCAGAAAGGAAAAATAGTCATCTTATTGAGACTGCATCAATGTCAATGTTCCTGTTCATCATTGGGGAGATGCACTTCTCACTATTTGTTTTCTGATCAATCGAATGTCATCTTCATCTCTCCAAAATCAAATTCCTCATTCTTTTATCTTTCCAAATGATCCTCTTTGTCAAATATCTCCTTGTGTATTCGGTTGTGCCTGTTTTGTACATGTCTCTTCAGGTCTTGATAAGTGCTAAAGCTATTAAATGTGTCTTCTTGGGATACTCTCGCCTCCAAAAAGGGTACAAATGTTATTCTCCATCTACCAAAAGGTATTACATGTCTGCTGATATCACCTTCTTTGAGGAAACACCCTTCTTTTCTTCCCCCATGGAGGATGGTTCCTCTATTCAAAATATTCTTCCTATACTCTCATATGATCCACTTATAATACATAATCCTTCTCCAATTCAACCTACAGGTCTGAATGATTCTCCTGACCCCACTTACACTTTTACCAGATTCTGCAAATAATCATGATTCAGAACCTTCTCCATCAGCTTCTCATACCATGGATCCTTCAACCTCCTCTCCCACTTCTGATTCTGAATGGACTATTGCACTCAGAAAAGGTATTTGTTCCTCTCGGAATCCCTTTCCTATTTATAATTTTTTAAGTTACTATTGTTTGTCTCCTTCATATTCCTCTTTTGTTGTCTCTTTGACTGACACCACTATTCTTAATAATGTCCATGAGGTTCTTGATCACCATGGATGGCGACAAGCCATGATTGATGAAATGTAAGCTCTTGAGCACAATGGCACTTGGGAGTTTGTCCCTCTTCCTCCTGGCAAAAAGGTTGTGGGTTGTAAGTGGGTCTATGCAGTTAAAGTTGATAATACTGGTAAAGTGGATCGTCTTAAAGCTCGTCTAGTAACTAAAGGCTACACTCAAATTTATGGCCTAGACTACTGTGATACCTTCTATCCAATAGCTAAAACTTCCACTATTCGTCTTTTCCTTGTTACAGTTGTTATTCGTCATTGGCCCCTTCATCAACCGGAAATTAAAAATGTCTTTCTTCATGATGACCTTGAAGAAGAGATTTATATGGAGCAACATCATGGCTTTGTTGCTCAGGGGGATTCAGGTTTAGTGTGTAAGTTACAACAGTCTCTTTATGACTTGAAATAGTCACCCCAGGCTTGGTTTGGGAAGCATATCACTCAGTGTTTTATTGTCATTCCTCTTCAAGCAAGCGTGTATCTTATGATTTATGTTAATGATATTGTTATTACAGGCAATGATTATACTAAGATCAGCCAACTAAATAATCATCTATTTGTTCACTTCCAAATTAAAGATTTTGGTCAATTGAAGTATTTTCTTGATATTGAAGTGGCTCAGTCAAAGGATAGTGTGATTATCTCTCAAAGGAAGTATGCTCTTGATATTCTAAAGGAGACAGGTTTAATAAATTGTAAACCCATTAATACCCCAATGGACCCTAATCAGAAATTGATGGGAGATAAAGGAGAAAAGTTGTCAGACCCAGAAAGATATAAGAGGTTGGTTGGTAAACTCATTTATTTTACTATTATTCGACCGGATCTTTCTTACGCAATTGAAGTAGTTAACCAATTTATGCAAAAAATCCTTGTACTAATCACTGGGATGTCTTGATTCGCATTCTGAGATATGTTAAAGGGGGCCCAAGACAAGGATTGTTATATGAAGATAAAAGTAATACTCAAATTCTAGGTTATTGTGATGCAGCTTGGGTTGGTTATCCCATTGATAGAAGATCTACTACTGGGTATTGTATCTTTATTGGAGGGAATTTGATTTCTTGGAAAAATAAAAAGCAAAGTATTATTGTTTGATCTAGTGCAGAAGCTAAGTATAGATCTATGGCATTTGCCGCATGTGAACTTGTGTGGATCAAACAACTCCTTCAAGAATTAAAATTTTGTGATAATGAGCAGATGAAATTGTTTTGTGATAACCAGGCACTTCTCCATATTGTCTCCAACCCAATCTTTCATGAAATAACAAAACATATCGAGATTAATTGTCACTTTGTTAGAGAAAAGTTAGTGTCTAAGAAACTTGTACCTGAATTTGTAAACTCCAATGAGCAACTAACAGACATTTTAACTAAATCCTTCAAAGGACCTACGATTCAATTCATTTGTTCCAAGCTTGGTGCATATAATCTATATGCTCCAACTTGAGGGGGAGTGTTGAGACATGTTGTTTCTCTATTTTTATGTATTTTCTGTGTTTGTGTTTCTTAGATTAGGGTTAAGGGTTTGGAATAAGGCTCATATCTATATGCTCCAACTTGAGGGGGAGTGTTGAGACATGTTGTTTCTCTATTTTTATGTATTTTCTGTGTTTGTGTTTCTTAGATTAGGGTTAAGGGTTTGGAATAAGGCTCATATCCTCTCTATTGTGTCTCCTTTATCTATAAATACAATGTAACAATGCCTTTTGACACTATATTGAAACCCTAAATAACTTTCTCAAGTCAAATATGAAAAGTTTTAGTTATTTATTGAGAACTAGCAATGGAAGAATTTGTAAAAACTAATTTATCCAAGGTCCTTACAAAGCTAAAATTCTTAGAACTTTTACTTGACTAGAATTCTTGCATCTCAGGACCATATTGTCATGTGGTCTAGAGTTCAATCCTTTGTCGTTTGTGCTTTTCTAAATAAATACTAAATTACAATAAAAGGTAAAGAGGGATCTATTCATTGTCCCTGCTCTAAGACAAATGCATCATAGGCACGTGAGAAATAAAACACTTCATTTGATCTTTCTCTAACACACCCAACAGCTTAAGTTTTTAGAGGAATTGGTTAATGAAACACTTAATAATGCTCTGCCAAAAAATATATAAAGAGGACAAAATTTGGTAGGACTGTGCACCGCCTACTCCATCATAGGGGAATATCAATGTCCTTAGGTACATAAAAGTGGGTAGGACGGTGTTTACAGATCCCTTATGGTGATCTTCCCATGATTTCTTTATTTTTAATTTCAGATATGTATAGTCTGAGCAGACATGGTGCATTTATCTTCTCTAACTGTCTGTTGTCCTTAAGCTTTTTCTTTTAACTTCATTGGAGATTATTATCCTCCCCCGACCCCTCTTTATTCTCTTCTCTCTAACAAATTGTTTTATAAAGAATTAGTTAGAGAAATTGAGAATCAACTGAAAAACAGTAGTAGCCATTTGCGTTTAAACTCTCAAAAAAACTTTTACCCGTCAAACACCCTCCATTTTATCACTAATTAAATAACTCTCCTAAAAGGTAAGTTATTGGTGAAAAAAAGGTTTCCCTCTCATATTAGCCATTTATTTGTGCTTAAACCATGATAAAGTCAAAAGCCCACTTAATGCGTGCATTTGTCATTTGTTCTTGAAATAAACTTAATTATGGACAGAGGGTGGCAAGGACCGATTGATCATGGAGACCTTGATACTTTGTCACAAACTAACTCGCCTAAAAGCTTAGGGTATAAAGAGAAGGCACATGAGTTTTATGTCTTCACACAAGCAAATCATATAAAAGAAACTAGCACAAAATATTGATAGGATCCTCCACTGCCTGTAACCCATTTCCATTTTAAGTTCATATTCATATGGAGCCACCGCTTCGAATGGCATTTTATAATTGAAGGAGAATAAGGAAGAAAACTCAGGACACAGTTCGAGACTTAAAAAAAAACATTTAAAGAAATCATTCATATCCGAAAGAGATATATATATATATATAAATATATATATATAACCATTTCTCTGACTTCAAGTTGCTGACCTTGCAAAAAATAATACAAAAGAAACAGAATAAATTACAATCAAAACCAACTCAACATGATTTGAATGACTCAGAATTAATACCATCTTCAGTCTTTTATACAGGAAAAATAAGGGTGCAAATTTTTTCTATCCTAATTATATGAAATATAAACCCATTTAATGTATTACTCATCAATTTCCTTTTATACCCTGAATGTATTGCAAAGTCTATTAATGAGACACCTTTTCCATACAAGTGGATTCATTCATTGGTCTACAACCATATAAGTTACACTTATCAGTGAAAAGTTATCCAATGAATTATAAGTACTGTCAATAAATATAACCACCACTTAAACCATTTAATTATCAGCTTATTTCTTCATTAGAATACATATTTATGACAATATTAATTAAAGTTAACTGACTTAACTATTTTCATTTATGCTAATTAGTTAGTTATTTATTTCTTATATAAAGGAAATAAGCAGGTAGAATTATTAACAATAACATGCAACTTAGTATCCAACGCAAAACAATAATAAAATTTAAAAAAAAAAAAAAGGAAGTAGCAACCAGCAAGAGAATTTGGAAAAGCCAAGTCCCAGAAAATAAAGAATTTAAAACAAATGACACCAACCTATTCTGATGTACAGCACGAATACAAGTATATACAAATTGCTTCACTCGGTAGTTCACCAAAGCACATCTGTTTGAGTAATCCTCACCAGCAAAAAGTCGGACAACATCCCCTGTTGCATACATTTTAATCCTACACATTAAGTTCCATTCCGAACACTAAAACTTGCAGAAACAAAGGATGCAGAGGCAGATATCTACAAAATTAAAAACTACTTACTTGTGTTCTAACAATAAACAGTGATTCAGATATATTAGATAAGTAGCACACAGCAAATATAAATAATGACATATTTGGATCTGTATAATGAGCCAAACTGCCATGAATCATGATAAGGCTTACAAAAGACATGCAGGAACAAACAAAAAAAACTGGGCCTTCGTTGTCAATTGCATTCTCTTCACTGTGCTGTCTCAAATATACCCACATTTTCATATAAAAATAGACTTCATTTGGAAGAAAAGTATAGACACAATGCGAAAATGAATAAATACACCCTTAAACAACTTTAGCAAAAGTAATTTCAACAATCTTATGCGTATGTACTTTCAAGAACAGAAAGTACAGTTCATGATACTAATAATATACTTATTCATATATGACTAACAATAGATGTAGCATCTAGCCTGTGGCAGGATTCCAATTAGACTATAACCTTTTGTGTCCCTTTTGCGTAAAAAGAATTCATTGAGAGAAATGAAAACTCCGTAATAATCCACATAATTGCTTGGAGAGAAAATATACAAATTAAAGTAAATGTAAATTATTTAATATACCGCACCTTAGCAAAAGTGCTAAAAAATGGGGAAATAATCAAGTAACCAAAAAAGATGCCACAATTTCAGTTAGCCAGGCAAAAGCCAAGTGTTCAAGGGATTATTCACTCACCAAAAAAAAATGAGGAAAGATATATATATATATATATATATATATATATATATATATATACAAAAATGGCAAGGAACCAAAAGGAAGGAAATAGATTTCAACCATGTGGATGCATTAAGAATGAGAATAGAAAACTGCTGGTAATAAAGCAGGATATCAAGGAAAGATCAAAGAGTTATTTTTACAACCTCTCAATTTACACTGTGTTTGGTATAGGGTAAAATAGGGAGACAAGGCAGTGAGTGAAAGTGAAGGGGGATTGGTTGTTTGGAAGAAGTGTAGGGAAGTATTTTAAAGAACTGGGAGGGTTCTACAATATATAATTTCCTTGCAATATTGTGTTGGAATTACACTATTGATGTTACATAAATGGGGCCATTGCATTGCACACCCAAAATTTCAATATACCATTATACCTTTTTCCATTTATAAAGAGGAGATGCAAAGGGTAAAGAAGAAAGTTCCAGAAGTAAAATTATCCGCAATTGACATTTTAGAAAGTAATAAAAGCACAACTTCAAAACATGCAATCAGGAACAATATTTTAACATTCCAAAATGGATAATCCAGAATTGATTTTTAACTATTTCAAAACACCCCTAATCCACTCCGTAGCATGCAATCTATAACCATTTTTATCATGTTGGAATGAACTCTCTAGAGCAATTTAGAATCCATTCCAAAAATGATTTTTAAACTTCACCCTCACCCTACACTATAGTCACCTCCATCACAGGCCATACTCTACCCTCACCGACCATTCATCCATGTCACCTTCCTTGTACACATCACTTTTGTTCCTCATCTCCACTCCCCAACCACTCCTCCCGCCATGTGACTGTTATGCACTCCATTGTTACTATTGATCCCATTGCCAGCAAGCATCAGAATGGACCCACCAGAGCAACACCACCGTCATTCCCGAAGCTCATCCTCACCAATGCATTCTTGTGGCTTTCTCTGGATTTGGAGTCTCCAGTAGCAAGGGGGAAGCCACTGGCAGTGTAGGCACGTTTTTCCTTCACGTGCAGAGATTGTTTGGCTCTAGCAGATCAGAAGGCATTTTCGCCAAAAGACAAAGCATAGGAAAGACTGGCATAAATCCTAGAACCCTCATTTTGGAATGGGAGAGAAAGCATTTTGGAACCCCTCATTCCAAAATGATAAAAAATTATTCAATTACATTATCCAGGGTTGCACATCCCCTGTTATGAACATAAAATGGGTATAATTGGTATATTGGTTATACAACCATCAGAACCAACCAATAATGGCACAATTGTCATCTGATAATCTCCCACCCACCCCAACCTCTCAAACCCCCATTCTTCTATAATAATAATAATAATAAATACTCAGAATAAAAATAAATAATAAAACTAATAATAATTATAATAAAATAAGTAATAAAACTCATAATGCTATGACATACATGATCTATAAAGATATGGATGATGGTTCAAATGAAACATAATCTAATTAAAGGGTCCAAGATAAACTCACAGTTTTTGGAGAAACTACTAAAAAGAGACCTTGCGAATTATTTTATTCAAATCCAGGTTCTTTATAGTGCTTGATGGCATCGGTTAGTTTGCCCATGTAATTTAGCCACACAAGGCTTGGTTTCCATTGTTCAGTTAAATTGGTAGGATGAAGGATTAATTGTAAAAGAAATAAACATTCCAGTTCACAAAATCTTGCTGAAAAACTAATAAACGTACATAATGAAATAAACAACAAAATACATGACCAAAGAAATGTTGATTAAAAATTACCACTCTCTTGAACAAACTGTTGAAGCAATCGGCAAATTTGCACAAGAATTAAAAAATCATCAATATTTTCTGCATTAAAGAAATAGAGGAACTGACGGAGGAAATCAGAATCTGGACCAAAAGCATTCCTGAATGCAAATAAAATCTCATTAACTTCTGTTCTAACAGTGCAATCTTTCAGGTAAGACCATACTAAATACATCAATAATTTTTTGACAAACTGAGTGAAAGAAAGTGAACAGCTTTCATGTAACAATTCAGGGATAACAATCAAATTTCACCTGTCTAGATTCTGGCAGTTGTTCCCATATATGCTACGGAATTTTACTCGTAGTTTAGACTGTTCTGTTCTGACTACTTTTCTCCCTCTGAAGCATTTCTGTAGCAAGATTCAGTCAACAATTTGCAAGACACTAATGAAAGATAGATTAACACTCATCATAGATGTTCTTCCCAGTAATAGGCATGTATAGCACATATGAAATCATAATGTAGGTGGCTAAACTTTAAAGTCAGGAAATGTAAAATGTTTATTTCCCATAGATGTGAACATTAAAAATTGTTTTATAATTTTATGATAAAAATTTCATGGAACCATAGAAAGGATAATCACTGACCAAAATAAAATTTAAATAAATAATGCATCTTGGATTGTGCATACATTTTTTTCTTACACCAAGTGCATGGCATTACATCATTCAACAGGCATTCACCCCAATTCATAAAGTCAATTCAAATTTTGAGTAGAGATGAGAGAGGTTAAATAACTTGGCAAATTATTGTAAACAAAATCTACGATGTTGAAAGCATTATGTATGCAGTGCGGTGTATGATTAATAGTCAGTTACTTATATGCCATATCATTGTAACTGTGAAACAGCTTTACATTTATTTCCTCAATGATCATTGGAACTTGGAAGGAAAGGCAGAACAAGGAACAATCAAATTTGAAATTTAAGGGAGGATAAGGTATGATAAAGGCAGGATCACTAGTACAGTATTTGTATTTGCTGTAAACATATAAATAAGAAATCATGCTCCTATTTCTGGATATGGTGCAAATGATACGAATCATTGAAATCATTAATTTGATTATCTATAAATCAAAGGAATCATTTAAGTCATTAATTGGATCATCTATAAATCCAATGACAATGGTGATCGATCATGAGTGGGAGATTAGTTTATCGAAAATATTGTTTTATTGCTGAATTGAATGAGATTTACCATTATAGTCTATTTAATGATGGCACCAAGTAACTTACAGCTGCAGTTTAGACTGCAATAGGTTAGGTATACTAACCCAATATCACTGCAACTCATGCAAATCCCTACGTTTTTTTACTGAAGGATATGCTTCTCTATTATCATTTACTTTGGCCTTGGCTTTGGCTTTCAGTTCATATCAATTTAGGAAGTATGACTGGTCGGTAGACTAGAAATTCTGTTTTAGTCTTAAGGGCTTTCCCTTGCCTCCATTGTCATGTAATATTAATCCTATTCCACCCTCCCTCAAAAATAAAAAAACATATGCATATAGGGATTATTAAACTCCAAATTCCAAACCATCACGTGAAGACTACTCAGGTTAGCACTAACAAGATTTTTTAGAGTAAAAATCTACACAAATCAAAGCAAGGAAATTAGCACAGCCTAAAACCAGTGGGTTTCTCCACTAATGCACATATTTTATATAAACATTTGAGGATGAAAAAGGTACGAAACAGTGAATAGGGTACAGCCTAGACCAATCTAAATACAGCAGAAACAGCTTTATAAAAGTTGTCACAATAGACAATAAACAACTATCTTAATCCTCCACCTTAAGTTGGAGAATGTATATCGTATGCACTAAGTTCTGAACATATAAATTGAATGTGAGGTCCTCTCAATGATTTAGTTAAAATATCTACAAGTTCATCCCTAGAGTTAATGAATTCAATACAATTTAACTTCTCTCAACCAAAATGACAGTCATTTCCATATGTTTAGTTTTTTTAATGAAACACTGAATTAGAGGCAATATAAAGGATTGTCTGATTATCATAATACAACTTCTTGACTTTCACAAAATTTCAACTCTTAAATAAGTTGTTTAATCCACAAGTTCATAAGTAACTACGGACATAACTCTATATCCAACATCAAAACTAGACCAAACAACAACATTTTGTTTTTTCTCCCCCATTCCAAGAAATCATATTTCCACCATGGATACATAAGATGCAATAGTAATGTGATCGTCTATATGACAACTTGCCCAATAAACACTCATGTTGTATTGATCTCATTTTCCCAATGTAAATAAATCACTTGTGTTACATAGAAACACATAACTTATGCTTAATGGTTCTCTTTTTCTTAGAGTTCTACATGGTATCTAGAACCTCTTGAAACCTGTGTTTGATCAGTGGACCCACTGTCCCCAGAGGAAAAGAAAATAGCAAACCCATTTGTTCTTGGTTGCCTCCGAAGACTTTTTCAACATATGTTTCGATAACTTTTCTGACACCAACCAAACTGTTGGGATTGTGTCATGCTGATCCATGCACCTTCAGACGTGCATGCTATATTTAATGCTAAGTTGAAGATTGAAGATCGAGCTATGATTGTAACTACATGCGAGATTACATGGCTCAAGAGACTCTTCAACCACTAAAATTTGGAGACACTCAGTACATTAAATTGATGTGACAATCAAGCTACTCTCCACAATGCATCATATATGGGGTTTCATGCTAATGACCTTTCTAACAAGTTTGACTCCTGATATATAAACTCCGGCTCAAGGAAGAGTGTTAAAGATATGATACTATATAAATAGAAAAATCTGAATTGAGACAAATAAAAGACATACTCTGTGTGAGGCAGAGTGTGTGTGTGTGTGTAAGGCAGAAATTATTTTTAGAACAATTTGGACCAACTTTCCATCATAGTTTTTAAAGCTTTGGGAAGAAAAAGAATGCTATAATTTTATGACAGTGTAGCGCGTTGTGCCTCTGGTGAATACAGTTGGAGTGTGTTTTGTTGATAGGTGGAGGCTCGAGAATAGTTTCGTAACTCAAAGAACAATGTCCAGATTGTAGTATATTTCTATTACCATTACATCTATTATGGAATGGGATTGAGTTTATGGCTTCTTTGGGCCCTCTGCTCAGTCATTTCAAGGGAATTGTTATCACCACTAAGCAAGGAGTTGAAAGAACTTATATGCACATTGTTTGTAATTTAAGCTTGTCTTTTTTTCATTCTTGTCGTAGGAGGGCTTCCTATCCTCCTCCTCCTGTATTTTATCTCCTATTTTCTTAATATTCTTCTTCTTTTATCAAAAATAACAATAATAATGATATTCCATCAGCAGTTTCCTTTGCATGACGACAGCTCAAGCCCCTATTTCTTTGATTCCTAATGATTGTGATGCTTATATACGTAGATTGCTGAGAGCCAGAATACCAATCATCACATCTTCAATAATCTGAAACGCTTAACAGTACATACCTAAGACTTTAAAAACAGCAATTGAAATGGCCACAACCAGCTTAACTCTCACTACCAAAATCAAGGCTATTAAAGTGCAACCATAGCTGCAAAATGACTAAACAAATAAACATAAAGTTCAATTGTTAGCAAAGTAGATCCCCTTGAGGTACACTTCACAGCAACCAAACTACTGAATTTGAGTTATTTCATAGTGATTCACAGCCACCGGAATCAAATACATGCAGAAGCAGAGAAATCAAACCTGAATCCTGAGTGCAGCAGAGTTCTGCTGGCGCAACCACAAGCGCCGGTTCCGCTCCAATCGCGTCTGTTCGAGAAGATTCTTTCTATCCCGTTCCTTCGAGCTGCGACCGCCTAAATCAACACGCTTACGAGTAGAGGAATCGCCACTGAAAAACATGTTTATTCGATTCCCTTTCTCCGCGAGTTTCGCCCAATTCACACCCTAACTTTCAGTAATGAGAAAAAAAGAAAATCGAAGAGAGCAATCGACGCATGCGAAGCAAAGTTTAATCTGCAATGAGAGATTTCAACGAGGACGTAGACCTAGATACGGACACCACAGAAAAGGTAGTAGGTAGAAAAAGAATTGTGAATTACAGGTTTCGATTAAGGGGAAAAAAATAATAATAATAATGCTGTTAAGAAATCTGTATTTATACGCAGAAATTGCTCCGAAATGACAATAAAAACAAATAAAGCGAATCTTCTTTAACTTTCTGGGTGAATGCGCGGAAGATTCTGATGGCAAGGAATAAGCAACCACCTGTTCAAATGCCAAGGCATGGTAGCAAAAGAGCACTGGCAAATTACGACAAAGACACTTCATTTGTCTATTGAGTATTTTCATAATAGTAATAAATATAGTTAGTTGTATAAAATTAAAATACTATATTTTTTATTTATTATCTATTCATACTATAGATTTAATTATAAAACAGATTTATATTACGACAAACATTATACTTTCACTAATTTGACTAATACTAATGAAAACATTATTAGTATTTGTAATTACTTTAAAAATAATATATAAAATTATTTATAATCAGTTGAAAGTATAAAAATCAAGAAAGGCCAATATAAACTTTTTTAAAGTTAATCATCACAATATATTTAGTTTAGATAGTAATTACTTCTAAATAAAAAAATATTAAACAACAAATTATAAAGTAAACAAATCAAAAGCAAGTATAATTTAACCTCATCAATTGTAAAGTAAACCCATAATTCAACAAGTAAAAACCCACTTATATTTTGGAGTACCCTTCCTCTTAAGTTTTATATTTTATTGGACAAATATATAGTCTTATCTTATTTTATTTTTATCATAATGACATGAAAAAAAAAGTCAATATATATATACAACCATTTAAACTAAAATAAATATATATATATATATATATATATCTAAAACAATATTGTTTTTATTATTTTTGAGTTACAAATTACTATACTATATTTTTTTAGTCTATTCTTCTTCTTTATCTCATATCTTTTTATAATATTATCACTAAAAAAAATAATTTATTATATAGATTATAATTCTAATAATTTTGTAATTAAAAATTATTTTTATAATAATTTTATTTTGAATCAACCTACAAATACTTTCTAGGTGGATTTAAAATCAATAATATTTGAATTTTGAAATGTAATATTAAGTGACTTTGTAAATTGTGATATTTTTTTTTCAAATCAATTTTGAATTATTATAATAAATATATTCAAATTTTATAAAATAACTTTATCAATTTAAAATATGAAGTATTTTTTATGGTAATTAAAAATTAAATCATCATAATAACTAAATATGATTATTACTTAATGTAACTATTCCAAATTTAATCGATATAAAAGTTATTAAATTTAAATTTTTTATATTCGTTTTATTCTTTTTATCCTTCTCATTTCTCATTTTTTGTGTTATATGTTAAAACTTTATTAATTTTTTTTAATTGTTTTTTCATCACACGTATCTACTTTTGTAATTCCTCGTTGCTTTATTTCGTACAATCTTACTTTTCTCTTATTTATAACAAAAATAATATATAAAAGTATTGTGTTATTTTTCTGCATTAATTTATATTTTATGATATGATTTAATGGAGTATTTTAATATATATTAGATTATAATTATTATTATAATTTTTTTTTAAATATATCAAATTTAAGTGAAATTATTTTTATTTTATATTTAAATTTTTTATATAGATAATACTTGTCTTTAATTATTCAAATTTATTATTATATTAAAATTGTTTATGAAAAATATAATTATATAAAAAGAATTAATACAATTTTTTTTACGACAATTATGTTAAAAATCAACATGATAAATAGTCATTTATTTAACAACCATATAATGAACTTAGAAAATCTAAAATAACTTACATTAATTATAAATACTTTAAATAATTCAATGTTAAAGTTGGTATGAGTTACTTTTTCACACGTTTTTATTGTTTTCTTTTATTTCTTGCTAATTTTTAATATTTTCTATAGCGAGTTATATTTCTTAAAACAAAATTTGCCAATTTTGAATCAGAATCTATTATGGTTAGTGTCATCTAGATTTATAATGAGACATTAATTAAACACTTTTGAAGTATTTTGAAAATGTTGTTTTTGAAATTTAATTTCTTCATAAAGATTGTTATGTATACTACTGACATTTTTATGTTTTAATTGCTTTGTTTATGTCAATTATAGATTATATAAAGATACAGATTATACTTATAAAAACTTAACATGTCAGTTTTGTGTAAGCTTTTAATGATGTTTTTATTTTTTTTTTAAATGTTGGTATCTCATTTTGGCATTTTTTATGAAGATGTATTTCAGTTTTTTTTTAATTTTATTTAATGTTTATTAAATAAATAAATGCCATTTAATTTAGTTTATTTATAATTTAATAATTTAAAGCTTAATTTAGATTGAATTTATTATTATGAAATTTTAAAACAATTCTTCAAAAAATTATAAAATATTTTTAAAAAATTGTTACAAAAGGTATAATGATTTTTATATTAGTTTTTATTATTTTATAATTTCAATTGGTCTTGTATTTAAAAATAAAGTACAAGATTTTATAATTAAAAATTATAATATAAAATTATTATAAATAAATCAATAAATATATTATAAAATATAAAAAACTGTAAAAAAAGTAAGAAACATATTTATTTATATTTATTAATTGATAATTAATTACAAATATATAATATTGTGTTTAAAAATAACAGGTTGTTTAATTTAGTTTTTATTTTTAATTCGAAACATGTAGAATTTAGAAAAAAAATATATATCTGCAAAATTCTCAAAAAATTATTTTAGTTGTTATTAGTTTTTTAATATTTTGTTTTTTATATCGATTTAATTTTAAATATTCCTACAAAACCCTAGTCAAAATTTCTTACATGTAAATGCTAATCTGGTTAAAATGCAATCTTAATATTGTAATAGCATGTTAAAATTGGTTTGTTTTTCATATTTTTTCCACTACTTTTGAAGTAATTATTGTTTTAGAGTCCAAAATAAAAATAACACATTATTGAAAATTCATTAAATAAGGTTTTTGACCTCAACAATGTTAATGTTATGGTAAACAAAAGGAAACAATTTTGAAGTTTTTTTTTTTTTTCTTGTTAGGATTTTCATATCCTTCTTTCAACAAATGCTGTATACTTTTGATGTTTTTTTTTTCCTGTGATATTTCTTATTAATATCCACTTAAACATTGTACTTCTACACAAACTAAGCCATATTTATAACCAATAAAGTGTAGTATTAAAAATAAAAATAAAAGACAAGTATCACATTTGAGACAATTAATACATGCATTAAAATATAATTTTGTGTGTTTCTTTTTTTTTTTAAATACAATTATATTTTAATAAGTGTAAGACTACAAAAAGGTCAAATCATTAAAATTATTTATAACTTAAATTTGAGAACAAGTAAAATAAAGATGTATGTATTTTATATATACAAACTTTATGAGTTTAAAATAATGTTTTTTTTTTTGCATTTGCTAAAAAAAAAAAAAAACATGCCCCAAGATATGTTTGGACTTTTAGATTTGAATAAGAAAATCCAACTCAAGAAAAGTTTATGAACTTCCGGCCCAATTCTGATTATATATACATAGGTTGATCTTTCATGCGAGTAACTGGGCACACCAACCTAACCATTAACAAAAACAGACCCAGAAAAAAATACCAAACATAGAAACCCTAGAATTTTCCAATTCATAACATTTTGTCCGTGTTGACCAAAATAAAAGTCAATAACAATTTTTTTTTTTAACTGGAACATGATATCTATACGGCAAGAAATGTAGCAGTTGACCTGACCAGACTCCTTGCCAGAAATTGAAAATGGGTGATTGGTTTTTATAATGTCAAATGGTATTAGGTGTTGCTGCAGAACACAGTTGCAAATCAATTAAGGTTTGAGTGCTTCATTCTAATTCAATGACCAAGAGAAGATTAAGAAAAATTTGTAGTTTCAGCCACAATGCTAACCTAGCTGACTCACTAACTCACCCACTTAATTAGGAGTATTCCTTAAACAATATGTAAGAAGATATTTTGGTTATTGACCTTTGCTTTTGACTCTTTGACCCTATTTTTTATCCCCTTTTTTGGGTAGGTATTAACATTGTTTTTGACTGGCCACGCTTAGTGATTTGTTAAGGGAAGCAAAGTTGAATGTGAATCAAGTGGCAGGTTTAAGATTCCTTCCAGAGGGGTGACCTATGTAATGAAATCATTGCATATAGCTCTGCCCAAAACATCACAATAGGTTCCATTTATTCTTTCTAAGGAATTGTTTTGTAGTATTGTGGTTGGTATCATTTTAATTTACATTTTTTAATACCATCACAATGAAACACACGTTCTTAGTTTGACTAATATCTTCCTCTTTGGGATATAATAATGATATCTTAATTGATACATTTCTTTAGTCGACAAGCACTAAGTAGTGCACGAATGGTGTGATTTGTCTTCACGGACTTTGCTTGCTACATTGGTGTGAAAGCCATAAAGATGGCTTCTTATTAGTGTAAAGTTTTTGTCCTCTTTGTGTCTTATAAACTTTCACTAAGGAATTAAAACAAAGAGACAAAGCATGATCCATAATTGTGATGAAAGAGTCCTTAATCATTCTTTTAAAAAAAAAAAAAAATGGGTTCTCGAATGCCTTGAATAGTTAAAGGGTTTTTATTAATAAATACCTAAAAAGAAAACAAGAAATTGTGCGTTTTCAAAACTTGCTGCATGGGTTTGAAGATATAATATTAATATTGATATTGAAGCCATGTTTGATTCGACTAAACGAATAATGGTGTTGGGCTTTAACGAAACCACATGTTCCCTACACCTAAGGTTTCCACAAGAAAGAAAGTTAAAATTGTGGTGCTTTGTTTGCACTTTGAAGGGACATTGCTGCGTAGTTCAAACTCCAAGACCTTACGTTCTGAGTTCATAAAATGATTAATCTCGTAACACAGTGAAAAAAGTGCTTTTTGGTTTTGCCTTCCACTTGGGAGGAAATGTTGCTGATTCGAACTCCAAAGCTAGGTTGTGACTTGAGCTAGGTTCTATGCTCCTACATTGGTAATTAATTAAAGTGAATACTTTGGTTCATATATAGTGCACAATAGTTTGGCCTATTATAGAGGGTCCCAAACATTTTGGTCCATGTTACGCGTTATGTGCTGTGTCTTTTCAGAGCATATAGACCAAAAAGCCAAAATTTTCACCATGCATTATGGTGGAACATATGGAATATGCATGTGATAATGTTTCTCAGAAAGGTGGATAAAAGGATGGCCAACACACATGTGACCTGGTTTTCATTATGATCCATCGAGAAAGTTGATTCACCTCAAAACAAAGATAAAAAGTTGACGTATCCCAAGAAAAAGGAGAATTAAGCTCAATATATTGCACTATGTGGGGGACGTACGCTATTCCAAAAGTTGTAACATTATGTTTCCAACTCATCAATTTAATCAATCACAAACTTTATATCTATATCTGCACTTCGTAAATTTAACTCATTTTCACATCAGTTAATCTATATTTCTCCTTAACATTAGTAACCAATCTTCTTAGAAGTTAAAAGGAGGTTTGACCCCTTAAAGTTTTGTAATTTTTATGTAATATATGTTTTTGACTTCTTAAATTTAATAATTATTTAATATATTTACTTGTATATTTATAATTTTATCTTCTCTTTTCTTCTAACTCTCATATAATATATGATTTTCTTCTCTCAAACTTAATAATAATTTAATATATTTATTTATATATTTCAGATTTAATCCTCCCACTTTTGCATCTTCTTTCACTATTTTATATTATTCATTATTTATTAATAATATATTATTTGATCACAAAATCAATGGTCAAGATCTATTTCTGCTTAATACAATTCAATAAACTAATAAACTTATTGTATAATTGGATTAGTGTACTAAATCCACGTCATAAAACTAATGCATATATAATATAGCATTTACATCATCGTTAATAACGTATATATGAATCACGAATTCAAATATCAATTCTAAATTTTATAGCAAAAACATAAAGGTTAAATATTTTACTTTACTCCATCTTCCCTTGCCAAAAACATTTATAATTACTATGAAACAAGACTCGCTTTTACGTCTTATCAATCTCTTTAACTCAAATTTAACTATAATTGACAATGTTTCAATCTTAAAATTTGTTAATTTATTCGATTTCTTCGATTGTTGTCATCTTTCAACCTTCAAACAATTAAACATATCTCCTATATTCCCAGGACAATCCTCCACTATCCATTCCTCTTTCATTATGTAATAAAAATTACGACGTTTATTTTGCTAACTAAATAATTTATTTTGTATAAAACTACAACATACAACATTGATTTAATTATAAAAATAATAATTAGATTTTCTTGAATTCATCATTACAACACCATGAACTATAACTAAAATAACGAAGAAAAAACAATACACATTGTGATGTATTGATTTCAATACACCTACTCATCACAAACTACACCATGTATCATATAGTTATCGCAATAGTATATTCAACTATTAACACTATTGTCTTCATAATATAATATAACATATTCACATGCATTGTAAGAATATCATGATCCTAACCATCAAATTCAGAATTCTAACTATCAAAATTATTTTCTCCGTCAAATAGTAACCTTAGTGTATTGGCGACTCCTCATATTTTACAAAACATATTATTTGATTTGTACTTCATAACACATTAAAAAAATTATAGAAAGATTTTATTTTTATTTTCATCAAAGTTCATTAATATATAAATCACATCATCCTCCTAAAAAAATTTTACCTCTCAAAATTATTTACCTTTTTTTTATATAATTGCATAACATATCACATATTACCTTTGACATAATATATAATATTTTTTTATAAACCGAGATATCATTACAATATAATAGATAACTTTTTATAATTGAAAAAAAAAATTACCAAACGAGGGATAAAATTATCACTACTACAGAAAACACTTTCTACGACAGCATCCAACGTCGGTTATCACGAAGATCGACGTTGTACAAGACGCTGTGGCAAACTTGTAATTATGAAACAAAATTTAACGCTCGGTTATATAATAACCGAGCGTAGTAACTGCAATTCAACGCTCGGTTATATGACAGACGACGTTAAATGTTTAAATTTAACGCTCTGCTATGTATAACCGACGTTGAATTCCCAAAATCAACGTCGGTTACATGATTTACCCGACGTCGAAAGCGTTATCCACGTCGGGTTTTTTAATAACCGACGTTGAATGTCCTTTATACCTCTCCTCCTAGGCGCGCTGCCCCTCGTCTGCTTCTTCTTCGTCCCACATACTCCCTCCTTCGCTTCTTCTTCGCTATGCCTCGGTCCTCACTGCCGCCCTCGCCGCTCCTTCGCCGCCCACTTCGCCGCCCCTCGCTCTGCCCCTCACCGCCCTTCGCCGCCCACTCGCCGCTCGCTACCTCATTCATCGTGGTCTGCCGCCTCGTCCTCACCGCTGTGCTCGCCCCTCGCCGCCCCTTCGCGCCCACTCACCGCGCTCTCATCAGGTTAGATTAAGTTGTATGGATGATTTACAACATGCATTTAACATAAATATGAATTATTTAGAGCATTTCCTGCGTAGGAACATTAGAAAGATGATGAATGATTTTGTATATATGGTTTGATTTGATCTAGGTTCGTTTAGGTTTCGAAGTGGTATATGGAACATTAGGTTTCGTTTAGGTTTAGGTTTAGGTTTGAAGTGGTATATGGAACATTAGAGCATGTATGGAACATTAGAGCATTGTTAGGCAATGTACACGTTTTTTTTGTATTGTTTTGTTAAACCTTTTCTAATAAACCTTGAATATCTAGGCAAGCATTTTTGTGTAGTTAGATGGATCGAACTTGGGTCAATGCAAGTCGTATGTCAGAAGAGTATGAGAATGGAGTTGACTCCTTTTTGAAATTTGCCGAACAAAATGCTCCCAAAATGAATGGAAAAATCTACTGCCCATGCGTTAATTGTGTAAATGGCAGAGTACAAGAGATGGACACAACGCCGGAGCATCTTATTTGCGATGGGATGATGAAGAATTACACCATATGGACATGGCACGGTGAAGTGGTTGATATTCCAACAAGTATCACAAACTATTGAGGATGATGTAACCCGCAAAGATCGAATAGAGGACATGCTTTGTGATGTGGGTCAAGAGAGCTTTCTTGAAGCACATGCATCTATATATGATACATTGATGACCGATTCAGAGACACCTTTGTATCCCGGATGTACAACTTTCACACGGTTGTCATCTGTGTTAAGATTGGTCAATCTAAAAGCAAAATTTGGTTGGAGTGATACAAGTTTTAATGAATTACTCCAACTTTTGAAGGAGATGCTCCCAGACAATAACACCTTGTCGGACCGTATGTATGAAGCGAAGAAGATACTATGTCCGATGGGTTTAGAATATAGGAAGATACATGTTTGCCCTAATGATTGTGTGTTCTACAGGAAAGAATTCTCATCTTTAGACCAATGTCCAACATGTGGTGTATCACGTTACAAAACGAAGGATGGTGATGATTGTAGTCAGGAGAGTGGTAAAAAACGTCCTCCTGCAAAAGTTTTATGGTATCTTCCAATTATTCCAAGATTTAGGCGGTTGTACGCTCACGATGCTGAAAATTTAATTTGACATTCAAAGAGAAAAACATGTGATGGGCAAATGCGACATCCATCTGACTCTCCCCAATGGAAGAATTTTGACCGTCTATTTCCAAGTTTTGGTAGTGATGCAAGAAACCTTAGACTTGAATAAGCAACAGATGGGATGAATCCTTTTGGAAATTTAAGTAGTAACCATAGTTCATGGCCCATTTTATTGATGATTTACAATCTTCAACCATGGTTATGCATGAAGCGCAAATATGTCATGTTGTCTATGATGATTTCAGGTCCAAGACAGCCAGGAAATGACATAGATGTGTATTTGAGTCCTTTGATAGAAGACTTAACACTATTATGGGAGGAAGGAGTAGATGCATTTGATGGGTATCGCAGCAGAAGTTCAAGTTGCATGCAATGTTATTTTGCACCATTAATGACTTCCTGCCTATGGAAACTTGAGTGGGTATAGTGTGAAGGGGCATTATGCTTGTCCTATTTGTGAAGAAGAGACCAGTTATATACAATTGAAACATGAAAAGAAGACAGGTTTATAACAGGCATGAGAAAATTTCTCCCGCATGACCATCCATACCGTAGACTGAAGAAAGCTTTTAATGGCATACAGGAGGATGAAATTGCCAAAGAACCATTGACTGGTTTAGAAGTTTACGATCGAGTGAAGAACATAAGCATTACATTTGGAAAGACCCAAAAAAGGTCTTCTGACAAGAACATGTGGAAGAAGAGATCAATTTTCTTTGATCTTCCATATTGGAGCCATTTAGAAGTACGACATTGTATTGATGTTATGCATGTGGAGAAGAATGTATGTGATAGTCTCATTGGCACATTGTTAAACATTCAAGGAAAGTCAAAGGATGGGATCAAAGCACGTCAAGACCTTTGTGAGATGAGAATACGTCCTGAATTACATCCAAGGCCTGAAGGCAATAGAACATATCTACCACCAGCATGTCACACCTTGTCAAAGAAGGAGAAACGTAGTTTATGTCATTGTCTTGCAAGTATTAAAGTGCCACAAGGATACTCTTCAAATATTAAGAGTCTTGTATCCATGAAAGATCTGAAGTTAATTGGATTAAAGTCCCATGATTTTCACGTTTTGATGCAACAGTTGTTACCCGTGGCTATACGTAACATATTGCCTAAGAATGTTAGACATGCCATTATGCGACTATGTTTTTTCTTCAATTCTATTTGTGCCAAGGTTATCGATGAAAAATCACTAGATGAGTTGGAAAATGAGGCTACGGTTGTGCTATGTCAATTGGAGATGTATTTTCCTCCATCATTCTTTGATATAATGATTCACTTAATCGTTCATGTTGTGAGGGAGATACGAATTTGTGGGCCGATTTATTTGAGGTGGATGTACCCAATTGAGCGATACATGAAGATCTTCAAAGGGTATTCTAAAAATCCATATAGACCTGAAGCTTCAATTGTTGAGCGGTATATTGCAGAAGAAGCCATAGAATTTTGTTCGGATTACTTGGCAAGAGTCGTACTGTGGGTGTACCTAGAAATCGTCATGATGATAGGCTAAATGGTAAGGGAACTCGTGGTATTAGAATTCAAACAAAAGATCATGTAGAGTTGACCACCGCCCACTTGTATATTTTGAACAATACAGAAGAGGTTATTCCTTACATAGATGCGCATAAAGCAATGTTAAAGGACCTAAACCCCAAAATGGGTGAAAGGTGGTTGATGAAAGAGCATAACAACAACTTTATCAATTAGTTTCAAAGCAAAATATTTTCAAGTGACAATGCCTCGATACACTTGAAATGGCTAGCACATGGGCCTAGATATAATGTTATAACTTGGCAAGGGTATGACATTAACAAATACTCATTCTATACGAAGACACAAGATGACAAAAGTACAGTCCAGAATAGTGGAGTATCTATTAAGGCAACATCTATGCATATTTCTAGTGCAAAGGACAAAAACCCCATCATGGCATCAATTAGTTACTTTGGAGTGATTGAGGAGATTTGGGAGGTCGACTATACTAAATTCAAAGTGCCTTTATTTAAATGTAAATGAGTTGATAGCAATACTGGTGTCCAAAGAGACCAAATGGGATTTACTTTGATTGATATAAACAAGATTGGTCATAAGGAAGAACCTTTCATAATGGCATACCAGGCAAAACAAGTGTTTTATGTCACTGATCCATCAAATGATAGGTGGTCAGTTGTCCTCAAAGGAAAAATGATTGATGTCACAAATGAGAATGGAGAAGAATTAGATGATTTTATTAACATTCAAAATTCACCACGGTTGTCTATTGCTATATCCCAATTGGAAGAGGACTTTGTTCATGCTACTCGCAATGACCATGATGAAGGCATATGGGAAAATATTAATACAATCTAAGTTATGTTTCTATTTATTTATTTTTCTAATATGTAATTGAGGAGACTTTGCATGTGTATTGATATAATTCTATGTTTTTTTCATTACAGGTAAATGACATCTCCTCCACCATCTCCTCAGGCATCTGGAAAGACATTTTCCAGTAAGAGGAGTCGACAATCTACACGGTTGAAAGGCTTGACCGTTAGACACATATCTGGCCAGAAGTTATCTG